ACATTGCCCTTCCAGGAACATAGTATATTTCTCCACTTTTTGAAGTCTTCTGCTTCTTTTTTTAAGGTTTTGTAGTTTTCCTCATAGACTAACTGGCATGGTACCCTTCAAAATAACAGAGAAGGCTTTTCATTTTCTTCTCTATTTTTTCGAAGAGTATCATGCTGGTTAGTTTTTTTTTCACTCTTGGAGTTGTTTGTGCACACTATAGCTTTTGATTTTTGTTAATTTATTTTGTACCCTGCCACTTTACCAAACTCTCATGTAAGTTCTAGCAATCTCTCTATTGAGTCTCTTGGTTCTCCTATGTATAGAATCATGTCACCTGCATTATTTATTTGTATTGCCAAGGCAGATACATACATATTTGCATATATGTGTGTATATAATATATAATTCATATTATACACACATATGTTTATATATGTGTGTAATATATTATATAGAGATACAGAGAGAAAGATGTGTCTGCTGGTTCACACCCCAAATGGACACAACAGCCAGAGCTGAGCTAATCTGTAGCCAGAAGCCAGGAGTCAGTAGCTTCCTCTGAGTCTCCCACATGGGTGCAGGGTCCCAAGGCTTGGCCATCTTCTACTGTTTTCCCAGGACACAAAGAGGGAGCTGGATTGGAAGTGGAGCAGGTGGGATACAAACTGGCACCCATATGGGATCCCAGGTGTGCAAAGCAAGGATTTATCCACTAGGCTATAGCGCTGAGCCCCTTTCTCTCTTTTTAAAATCCATTCTTAGCACTCTATGTCTTTTATTTGGACAATGTATAATATAGCTACATTCAAGATAACTGTTGATAGGTGGGGAGTTCATACTGCTGTTTTGTCAGTAGTTATTTTCTGGTTACTGGTCCTTTCTTATGCCTTTCTTTTCCTAGGTGAGTGACTTTTTTTTCTAGCAGTATGTTTTTATTCCTAGCTTTTTGACTTGTGGTTACCATGAAATATGAAATAGATCTTGGGGCATGGCATGATAGCCTAGTGACTAAAATCCTGGCCTTGCATGTGCTGTAATCCCATATGTATGTATGCCTTTCATGTCCTGGATGCTACACTTCCTGTCCAGCTCCCTGCTTGTGGCCTGGGAAAGAAGTAAAGGATAGCCCAAAGCCTTGAATCCCTGAACTCATGTGGGAGATCCAGAAGAAGCTCCTGGCTTCGGATCGGCTCAGCTTCTACCATTGTGGCCTTTTGGGGAGTGAACCAGCAGATGGAAGATCTTTCTCTCCCTCTCTCTCCTCTCTGTATATCTGATTTTCCAATAAAAATAAATAAATATTTTAAAAATATCTTGTAATTATGAATTGAGAATTAACTTTGATTGTGTAAGACAACTGTATTTTGATTTCACCCTTCCTACCACATTTTAGATTGGTAGCACGGCTTTCATCGTTTTGTATTTCCTATCCCTTACCAAGTTACAGTTATTAAGTTTAGTGTCCCTATCTTCACCTTCGTTCTATATATCAAAGTGGTTTATGTTAGGAGTACAATGTTTAAATACTCTAAATTCACATACTATTACATCTGAGTTTTATGCTGTTGTCTTAGTTTGAAGAGTTGTTTTTAGCATTTGCTATAGGCCAAGGTGGTTGTGAATTACTTCCGCCGCTGTGCTCTGGGATGTCTTTCATATTTAGAGTAAAGCATTGGTGGATATACTATTCTTGGTTTGCAGAATTTTTTTTCCTTCAACACTTGAATATGTCTGCTGTAAGGTATACTGGAATTTTGGGCCCAGTGTGATAGTGTAGTAGTTAAAGTCCTTGCCTTCAACACTCCAGGATCCCATATGGGCGCTGGCTCTAATCCTGGTGGCTCCATTTCCCATCCAGCTTCCTGCTTGTGGCCTGGGAAAGCAGTCGAGGATGACCTAAAGCTTTGGGACACTACACCTGCATGGGAGACCTGGAAGAGGCTCCTGGCTTCAGATTGGCTCAGCTCCAGCCGTTGTAGCCACTTGAGGACTGAATCACTGGACAAAGGATCTTGCTCTCTGTCTCTCCTCCTCCTCTCTGTATATCTGCTTTTCCAATACAAATGAATAATTTTTTTAAAAGTATACTGAAATTTCCTTACAAATTATTTGCTTCATTTTTGTAAGCATTCCTGGCTTGCCTTTGACCTTGCAGAACTTACTATAGACCTTGGGGTAATCTTACTTGGGTTGAATCTGGCTGAATTATCTTTGTCATTCTTGTACCTAAATATTTGTCTTTTTGTCCAGGTTTAGAAAGTTTTCTGTTATTGTTTATTTAAACACATATCTACCCCTTGTATTTCTGTATTCCCATTTGAACATCAATGGCTGATATATTTATTCTTTTGATGATGTTTCTAAATCCTATAAGCTTTCTTCAATCCTTTGTCCTCTTTTTTTCTATTTTCTCCTGTGAATATTTTTCAAATCACCTTCCTTCAAGTTGAATTTTTCTGCTTGAGCAGTTTGCTGTTTTGGCTTGCTAGTATATTTCTCATTTGTTGGTTGTATTTTTTCAGCCATAAAAGTTTGCTTATTTTATTTCTGTGTTAAATGCTTCTGGCACATGTCTTCCTTGTTTGTTGTGTTTCCGTATATTATTTTGAATTGTTGGTTTGAGCAGTCAGACTTTTATCTCTCTACAGTCAGTTACTTGCAGCTTGTCCTGTCCATTTGATAGTGATTGTTCCATGATTGCTTTTCTTTCGTAGGGATGATGTTGGCATCTATGCACTAGGTAATTAGGTATTTTAGTCTTCCTTATCTTGCTTTTATATTATCAGACTTTCTGCAACACTGTCTGTCAAAACATTCTGTGCATATTGTCTGTACTTTTTCCTTAGTCAAACATGCTGAAGCCTTTCAATGCATGGAATCCTATGTGCAGGTTCACTAGAGGTCTTGTGAAGGTCCTAAGATTAGAGCAGCATCCGACCCAAATGAGCCTGTAGAAGACACCAGAGAGTGCCTGAGCTATGTGGGAAAGCTCATTCCTGGGGGGATCCCAGGACCAGGATTCCTTTGATTCAGTGACTCCTCTAGCTTAATGTCACCAAGTTCCCAGCCAGCAAGTCCTTCTCCTTCCTTTTCCCTCCCCACCTGCCGCCCAACCCCTTTGCTGTTGGACTGCTTTACTGTTTGTCATCAGCTGGTTTTGGTATTTTAGCCCTGCAAGCATTTGTGATTCTTCTGTGGGAATTTGCAAAAATGAATTTCTGGTGAATGGATACAGACTGATGGGAAATGCTGATGTCCTCCTTGCACTCACTTTTTTAAAAGAAAATTATTTGTTTTTATTGCAAAGTAAATTTATAGAGAGAATGAAAGACAGAATGGGAAAGATCTTCCATTTGCTGATTTACTCCCCAGATAGCTACAACAGCTGGTGCTGAGCTGATCCAGAGCTTCTTCCAGTCTCCCACCTCTCCAGGCCATCAGCAGAGAGCGAGATGGGAAGTGCAGCAATTGGGATTTGAGCCAGCACCCATACAAGATGGCAGTGACACAGGCAGAAGATTAGCTTGCTGTGGCCAGCCCTAGCTTTTTCTAGTGTAGAAATCATGAAACCAGAGCACCTTCTCATGTATGGTACTTGTTGGTTTGAGGGAGGGACACTATGATCAGATAGATTTACTACCCTAGAAGACATGTTTTTCCTCTTCTGTGAATCTCAAGGAATCATCCACCTCAATTTTAAGTTCTGGGATACTCTGAGTGGTCAATATTGCCATTGGATGATGACTAGCTGATTTGCTGCCTGGGACAAACTACTCCACCATTGCAGAGGTCCTCAGTTCAGCCTCATAAATTGTTTCAGGTCATTCCTCAAAAGCTTTTGCTAAACGTCAGGGAAGAGATTTACCCTAGCAGGTGGGACACTGATTAAGATGCCTGGGTCCTACATCAGAATCCCTGGTCATGATCCCCAGCTCAGGCTGACACCAGCTTTGTGCCAATGTGAACCTGCGAAGCAGGTGATGTGATGGAGTTCATTCCATCCATGTGGAAGACTTTGATTACATTCTTAACTCCAGGCTATGGCCCAGCCTAGTCAGTGCAGGTACATGCTAAGTGAGCCAGAAAATGAGAGCAGTCTAGGTCTCTTTCTGCCTCTTAAAAAAAAAAAAAAGCTTCCTATTGGGATCTGTCTCAAGGAGATTAGGAGATATAAATCCCTCCTTTAAAAATATTCCAGATTGCAATGTTTAATTTTATCATCCTCTTTAAAACAAAACAAAACAAAATAAACCTAGGAAGCCAGATTGGCTAAATTATATGGAAAAAGGATTTTCATATTTCAGTAAGATTCATGAAAATGCATGAAGTGTAAAAATGCATCACTATTGTGTAGTTTTTTTTTTTAATATTTATTATTCGAACATCAGATATACAGAGAGGAGGAGAGACGAAGAGGAAGATCTTGTGTCCCAGCTACTCCACTTCCCACCCAGCTCCCTGCTTGTGGCCTGGGAAAGCAGTTGAGGATGGCCCAAAGCCTGGGATCCTGCACCCTTGTGGAAGATCTGGAGGAAGCACTTGGCTCTTGGCTTCAGATTGGTTCAGCTCTGGTCATTGCGGCCACTTGGGGAGTGAATCAGTGATGGAAGATTTGTCTGTCTCTCCTCCTCTCTGTTCATCTGCCTTTTTAAAAAATTATTATTTTATTTTGATAATCTTTACAAAGTTGATTAGGACACAAAGGGTCAAGGGCTACAGGAAAGAGGGTAAGATGTTGTTTCCACATTTTTTTTTTCTGTATCTGGTGTAAGAGGGGAGATAAAGGGAGAAGCCCCACCCAACCTCCCACTCATCCCAGGTCTCAGACGTGGAGCGTGCTGCTCAAGTTGTTTTGATAGTTCAGCTGTTCTGAATTGCTGCCAGTCTCGCCATTCCAAGCACAATGAAATCTCTCCAGAATCCACTGGCTGACGTAGTCCACCTTAAAGTCTCAGTTTGCCCAGATTTTCACTGCCAACACACGGCTGGGGTAGATGATCAATTTGTTCTGTTCTTCGTCCTCTGTTGTGGTACCAGGTTACTTGAATTTCTAGTAAAAATAAATACATCTTAAAAAAAAAAAAATCAGCCTTCAGTGGGTGCTCTGGCTAGAAGGAAAGGACTGCTTGCTCCGCACAGGAAAGGTTCTTCATTCAAATTTAGGGTCCAGAATAAATCCTAGAACCAAGAATAAAGAGGGCAAGTAGACCTGAGCTGCATGAAGCTATAAGCTTAGGTCATTGCACAAAGATTGCTGGATTGAAATCAGTGAGATCAATGATTGTAGATTAAGCCCATTTTACTTCTTGGACATTTCTATGTCACTTTTTTTTTTTACGATAAAAGTAAAATAAATCATTTACTGTATGTTTTCCTTTAAAACATAACAAGATTTATACCTAAACTGTCATTTACATATTAAAAACTAATTTCTATTTACAAAGAGGTACTAGTTCAATAACAGAATGTCTTAAGTCATAGAATTCAGTAATGTTGGAAGAGAGGATTTTTCACCTTCAAGTTACTTCAGAATTTTTTTCTAACCTCAAATAGGTTTACAAATTTTGACGCTTAAGAAAAACTACTACTACAAATAAAATAGTATTTGTTTTGGCTATGCAGAGTAGAGAATTTCTTCAATTACATACAAAATTGTTGTGTTTTCTCACCTAATCCTCAAAGATAATAAGTAATAACCTCACTGATAAAGAAACCAGGTTCAGATGTACTGGAAGTTTTATCCAAGAGCGCTCTTTAGAGAATATGCTGCATCTGCTAACCATTGCTTACCCTCTGAAACCTTGCACTTAAACCCTAAACCCTGAAGCTCCTAGGGTGATATTTTAAATGACTTACCCAGGTTCTGTCTTCAAACTTTATTAAATTTTTCAAAAAAGGTTTCACTCAATTGTTCAAATGCTAAGACAACATTGTCATCTTCATTTTCACACAGTTCACGCAGGGCAACACTGCAATAGGAGAAAAAAACTTATTCAGCACCTATTTCATTGAAGCTGAATATCATAAGAAGGGCTTTCCTTGGCAGAAGCAAACACTATCAATTGGCAAAATAATGCTAGCAAAATAAGAAACATTTATTTCAAAATACCTTGCATTGAAAAAAAAAAAAAAAGAAAAGATAAAGCTACAAAACCCATGCAGGTTCTCTCCCTGTCTATCATGAACAGAACTTGAAAGGCCAAGAAATCCCACATAACTTGGCCCTTCCTCATTTCTGCATACATCTCTTAGAGCCATTACTTTGTGGTGTTGTTGTTTGCCACTTTGTACATCATATGCCAGAACCCACAGTTCACCACCTATCTCTATGAGGAGGAAAACATTTTTTCCTTACCTAGATCTGCGAGCAAACAAATTGGTAAGTAAATAATAGTGCGTGAATGAGGTCTATTCCCTAGTCCCATGGGGACCTATGATTAGGCTTCATTCCATGACAAGCCTAGTGGTTAAATCCTCACATTTCAAGTGCTGGAATCCCATATGGGTGCTGTTTTGAGTCCCAGCTGCTCCACTTCCCTTCCAACTCCCTGCTTGTGGTCTGGGAAAGCAGTAGAGGAATTATACTTGCAGATGGAACTGCAGCTGCTCCCAGCTAAATAAGATGCGGAGATTATCCTGGGTTATATGGGAGAGACCCATTGTAATCTCTCAAAGGTCTTTGTAGACAGAAAAGACAGACAGGAGAGAGTTCTTATCAGAATGTGGCAGTGTGACACTGCTGGCTCTGAAGATGAAGAGGGTGCTAGCCAAGAAATTGCAGCAGTCTTTAGAAGTTGGAAAGGGCAGTGAAACAGATCATGTCTTGGAGCCTCCAGAAAGGAAGGCAGCCCTGATAACATCTAATGTTGGCACAAGGGGGACCCATTTCAGGTGTGTAACTTTTAGAACTAAATCTATGCAGCTGTGTTGGTTTATGCTCTTATGTTACTAAGAAATTAATGAACAAGTAACCCCCTCCCCACCTCTCAAAAAATAAATGCAGGAGTACACAATGCTGAGCTACTATTCTGCCACAGAGCATTAAGCTGCCACTTACAGCTGGCATATCAGAGTACTGGTTCGAGTCCTGGCTCTGTGCCTTCTGGTCCAGTTGCTGACTAATGTGCACAGGAGGGCAGTGGGAGATTGCTCAGGCACTTGGGCCCCTGCTACCCACATGGTAAATTAGGATGAAGTTCTATGTTCCTGACTTTAGCCTGGTCTAGCTCTGGCCATGGGAGTGAACCAGTGGATGGAAGATCTTTTTTTTCTGTTTTTCTCTCTTTCACTATGCCTTTCAAATAGATAAAATCTTAAGGAATAAGCAATGCAGCTGAGTTGATTCAGGGATGGTGATGATAAGGGTTTTCTTTTTTAAAAATCACTTGTTCGGTAAATGCATGGATGAATGATTTCCTTAGTCCAGCTTCTGAAACAACTCCAAAATCTCTGGCATTTCTTGGGCTTCTGTGGAGATTATAACTTGTGTAACTATGCACTAAAGGAGAACATTCTATCTAGAAGTAGGCAAAACAGTTGCCTTCTACAGTATCCCTAAATTCTACTCTCTGTATTTGACTCAATTCAAAGGAATAAACAGGTCACTTACAATTTAAAAGCATTTGATAATGAAAGTGTAAAAGGAACTGAAAGGACAAAGAAATGCCTATCAACTATTGAAGTGTCTGTATGCTGGAGGATGCCTTTTACCTGAAATTTAACTAAGTCACACAGAGCCAGTGGATAGGGGAATCTTCATGAAATTTGGTCCTGTTCAGACCTTCAGTTAAAGATAAAAACAAGAAGCCCAGATGAGAGGTGATAGATGAATCCGAGAGAAAACAATGGATGAAGAAAGAGATGCAAGAGTGTGCAAGTGGATATAAACCAGAGGACTGATGGAACTAGAAGGACCCTCTGAAGCATAGTGTGTCTGACATGCTGCACACATCAATTAAGAATGCTAAGTGCTAGTGGGGAGTCAGCAAAGCTTTAGGCCATGCCTAATGGTACTGGATACTTGTCACTGAGACTGTGGTCTGGAGAGAACTTAATCCTAGATGGATTTTGAGATTTAGTTTATCATAGAAACAGTGCAAAAGGCTGGACTAAGAAATTCTGAAAGGCGTCTGGGGAGCTGAAATGTATAGCACACAAGAGGCTCGATGGCACCTCCAAGTGTGGCTCAGAGTAAGAGGTTACAAGTTTTCAAATTGTAGCTAAAGTGAAAAACTTGAAATCAACATTTCAATGGTAACACACCTGATAGCTTTAATGGTGAGTCCAAAATCCTTCAGTAATGTATAAGCTGCTCCTTCATGTAGCCTGGACAAAATATTGAAAATTAATGATGCAATTTATGAAGATTTCATATTTTATATATTCAAGTATTGAACTTGTCAAGACATCTTTCAAAATCATTTCTGCCACAAAATTCCATATGATAATTTAAGATATAGTAATGATGGTTAGGAATTCATGAGTATTACCATTAAGATAACCAATAATCATAGGAGACTGACCATCTCAGAAGAAAACTAAACTAGAAAAGTGAAACTCAGGAGAGTGAAAGAGAACTAAGATCAAATGTCTCACTGATGTTGTTGCTTTATGCCCAATAGTGAGTCAGATGTAGTGTCAGAATTCCTGAATTTCATAATTCAGTAAGCATTATTCAAAATTTTATGTAAAATGCATATTGAATTCTTGCCTTGATATGACACAGCGCCTCTACCCACACCTTTTTGCTCAGAACTGGGATCAGTTGCTCCATTACCATGTCAATCCAGAAATATTCATTTATGCTTACTATTTTCCAAAAATATATATTTATTTATTTGAGAGCAAAGAGGTAGAACTCCCATTCACTTGATTATTCCTTGAATTTCTGCAATACCTGCCACATGGGTGGCCGGAATCCAGTTATCTGAGCCATTACCACAGCCTGCCTGGGTCTACATTAGCAGGAATGTGGATTCAGGAGCCAACACTGGGTGTCTAACTCAGCCCCTTGATAGGAGACAGAGATGTCTTAGCCAGCATTTTAGCCAGTAGGCAGAATGTTCACCCCTGCCTACTAGTTTTGAAAATGGTGTCCTTAGCAAAAACCAGAAGCAATTGGCATGTACTTAGGCTTCACATGCGTGAATTAAATACTTTTATATGTACTCCTGCTAGATATTTGACAGCATTGGCTTAATATTAATGAATAATATATTTAATGTATTATTATTATAAATCTAATGAACAAGTAGAAGAAATAAAAATGTCTATAAACTGTATCTTTAGAATATGTCTCAAAGTTGAACAAGTATCTTGGCCTTAGTACCAAGATTCTGATGATTAGCCACACACTAAAACAGTACAGAATTTCTTATGCTCTGTCATTAGTGTATTTAAAAAAAATGCTGCATGACATTTCTGTAGTCAATATGGGAGTGCCTGCATTGGAGTCCCAACTTCATTTCTGTTTCCAGCTCCCCACTGATGCTCAAATTGGGCAGCAGCAGGTGAATGCTCAAGTGGCTGGATCCATGCCACTCAGGTGAGAGAGCTGGAATGAGTTCCTGGCTCTTGACCTTGGCTTGGCCCATCCCCAGCTGTTGCGGCTATCTTGAGAGTAAAGCAGCAGATGAAAGATTTCTGTCTCTGCCTTTTAAAATGAAATAATTATTTTAAAAATGCCTACATAACTTAAAAATCTTATGTCTTTACAGATCTAGTATAGTTTGTATTTTAAAGTATTAGGATTTCTTTCTAAAATAGATTAAATGTATTTATTAGATGGAAATGGAGACAGGCATAGAGACAGAAGGCACACATACCTGTTGTCCTGGACCAGTCCTAGCAAGGAGCCATGTTTGTAGAAATCAAGTGCGTAAGCATCAAGTGGAATCCGCCTTCCTTGGCTATCAAATCTCTGTGGCCACAGCACAGGAGCTTGTGTGTGATTGATACCAATTGTGCGCATAATGAGCTGAAGAAATAACATTTCCTAGTTTGTTATTTATGTGGAAAGAAAGTTTATCACATTTTGTATTGGATCTTATTGCTACTTTCCTTTAATAAGTGTTCTTAAGGAACACTCTTCATTGTAAAAGAAGAGAGTGTCTTTTACATGTTACTGCTGGCATCACCCTAAGCAAGCACAGAGAATGACTCAGTTCCACTTAGGAAAATGATGGCCTCCATTGCATTATAATGTATACATTCCATCCTACCACTAGAATTATAGGAAGATTTTCTAGGAAAAAGGGCTATCGTAGAATTTTATCATTCTCTTTATTGGTGCAGAAAATACCTTTGTAAACAAAGTAACAGAGAGTGCAGGCTTATATGTCACAAGAGAATCATTCAACTGAACAACTATCTTTGGAATCCAATCATTAGGATATGAGGTAGGGGGAGAGGGAAAAAGGGAAAAAAAGGAAAAAAAGAAAGCAAACAGCTCCTCATTTCTAATTACTTTTTTTATAAACCATATTTGAAAGGGTAAAGATTAATCCTAACATGTGCTAGACTGTCAACTTGCACAAAAACATCCTAAAATGAGTTGGGAGTAGCTTAAAAAGTTGAATATTTGAATACTCTTCTGATACAGAAAATCCTTTAACTCAGAAAGCCCAGCCTTAACAGAGAGTATTGCACACATGTGCAACAGATATTTATAGCAAAAATAGACTCTGAACATTTATTGGAGCATACAGTAGCAGCATGTTTTGTATTCACACTGTTAAATATATGAGGTAGTAAAAAATAGAAGAGCTTCATACTGCAATATGGCTATATCACAGCACTGGGTATATAAAAGCAACTTCCAGATTACAAAAAACATTTTCACTTTTTGTGAAGTTCAAGGTGAGAAAAAATTAAAAATGATTTACATGAACTAATAAAAAAGAATGAAAAAGTTTCAGAAATTTTGAGTAGGAGAAGGAAGACAAGGAAATGAAATGGAGGAACACAGGGTGCTCATTTCACCATGCTTTTGTGATGCATGGTCGTGTATAAGCTACTTAAAATGTAAGTACACATAATTAGTATTACATTAAGATATAAGTAATACAAGAAAAATAAGCTTTAACAGAGTACAGCTTTCTCTAGGAAAGTACATTTGCATTAAGTGAGTTAGAAAAGGTGAAAGGAATGCCATTCCCAATGATGTTCACAGTCCAAGATTTTTCAAGTCAGATGAAAAACCAACCCTTTCCTGCCCTCAAGAATATCATCAGTAACAACTCCCAACTATGAATTAGTTCATGCTCTGTACCTTAAAGCTCTCTCTTAATTGATGGTGAATTTAATACTGACATAGAGAAGGGTAGGCATTTGGCAAAGCAGTTAAAATGTTGCTTGGGGTGCCTGCATGCGTAGTTGGAGACCCAGCTCTTGTACTTGTAATCCAACTTCCTGTTAATATGGTCCCTGAAAGGAAGCAGTGGTGGCTCAAGTACCTGGGTCCCTGTTTCTCACAAGGGAGTCCTGGATGGAGACCTGGCTCCTGCTTTCAACATGGAGCAGCCATGGCTGAATTATTTTCAATATTGTTAGCTATAGACCACTTTATAAGTAATTTTTCACAACCATAAAAATAAAATACAGAAAAACATTTTAAAATGTGTTGATGTAAAGTATAGTTGTTTATTATTTGCTTGCCAGAATTCCCTATTCTTCTAAAACATTCTATTCTATGGCAGCCGTTAGATTGGGTCTTTCATGAACACATGACATTTTTCACTTACATGTTCTGAATCGTGTACTTGAAGTAAATCACTGTCAAAGTTTCCAGAGAGACAAGCAAATGGTGAGATAGCTGCTCTTCCTTCCTTGCAGTTCATCAAGTGAGACACCAGTTGGGAGCCCTCACATTCTTTACCTGAGAAATCTGACACATTGGGAAGGATTGGTTAAAAAAAGATTAGCCAAATTATTAAACCTTCATACTTTCCCTAGACTGTGCTTACAAGAGCTGCCACTCAACTTTATGTGAGCCATCTCAATAAAATATGCATCATGGCTTGGGAGTGAATACACTCAACAAATTGTCAGTATCATTATTAGATAAAATTTATTTTATTTTAGTGACTTTGGATCGATAGGAATACAAGACTAAATTCTACCATAGCTGAGAATTGTCATTATCTTGTTACTTCCCACCACTGAACTCACAGTTAGCCTCAGAATCTTTCTAGATAGGAAGTCTTAGGCTGCCACTACATACAGGTTTGGAAATGGCATGAGAAGAATACAGTTTTCTAGTCATGCTTTGATAATGCACTAGATCACACATCCAAATTGAGTTCCAGTTTGTCCTGGAGACAAAGCATTCACATGTTCCCAACTCCTCTACTTTGTGAGCTTCCAGTGTTCCACCACTATTGCTTGGTTTTTTCATGTTCTTTTCTATTTTATCAGGGCCCAGAAAGCTACCTGTTTCCCTCTACTTGAATTTTCCCCACTGGTGATGTGAGGTACAGTGAACAAAGTTGCCATCCACAGCTCAATATCTGTTCCCTTTTTGTTTTTTCCCAGAAAGCATCCATGTGTTAGTTCACATAAAAGAAAAGGAAACATGTATGAATCTTGTTTGCTTCATGCCAAGCCCTATCTTAATATAGTTATGTATATTAACTTGATCCTTCAAAGCTCACCAATACCAAGTAGATGTTACTTCCTTTCTCATATATCAGTTGAGAAAACAACTATTGATTTTTCTTCTCCAAAGTCTCAAACTAATCAGACTAGAACAGATTAGAACAGACTTGGATCTGGGAAGGAATCTAGAGTCTATGCTCATGAACACCTTCCCTCATGGTAGTAAGTGTCAGGATGAGCCCTTAATTTGTCTTAACATAACAGTTTTTTCAGGTTTGAAACCAAAGCAACCTTTAATCAACATTTTTTATAAATGACTCCATTTGGTTTCATTGTCCTTGTCCTGCTAACTTCTAAGTATCACCATTTCTAACATTGGAGAGCAAATGGGATGCCCTCATTCCAGTGACATTCCTGGGATTTTTCTCTTCTCCTGGACTAAAGTGCTGTTATGCAAGACTGTATTTTTCAAGTTGTTCCAGAATGGAGACAAAATATACTTACTGATTTTTGATAATGGGAGTTCGTATTCCTGTTTCATATCAGCGAATTTGGAAACCATTAGTAGGAAAGATGTAAAGTCCTTTGTAACATTCATGTTATACTCATGTAAAGCATCACTGAAATCTTTTGGGAGATCCTCAAGGAATACCTATAGGTTAGACATGTTCAGAAAGATGTGCTTAGATTCCTTGACAACTCAATCTTAGGTAGAACAGTAAAAAACATTACAACGGAATTCTACTGTCATCTGCTCAGTCAGTGATGCATTGTTCCATTCTTTCATTGGTAAATTTGAGGTAAAATTCATTTTTGTTTCTCTTTGCATTTATAGGGCAGGCATTTTGCCTACTGGTTAAGACACAAAAGTGCTTGGATCCCACAATGGAGTGCCTGTGCTTGAGTTTGCAACTTCAGTTCTTGAATCTAGTTTCTGACTAATATATTCCCTGAGAGGCAGCAGTGATGGTGCAAGTATTGAGTTCCTGTCACTCATGAGAGAGCTGAATTGAATTTAGAGCTCCTAGCTTCAGCCCTATCTTCCCCTATGCACCTCTCCTTGCCTTTTACAATTTTTAATTTTAAAAGTTGTTTGATATGACTTAATTAAAACTATGCAAAAATAGTTGTATGTTCTCAAGTGATCTTGTGACAATTTTAAAGGATTAATGACACATTTGCAGATCAAGCAACAAGTTAAAACCACTGGTAGAATAAACCTCACTTGGTGGTGAGGGTTATGTTAGTTTGTATATTTTCTTAGTTGCCCACTTAAATTCCTGAAAGAGATACATCTTTAATTTTCCTTTTTGTAATTAACTTTTGCTCTTAAAAAGGGCAAATGTTTCCTTTCTCTGTGTTTTCCCAAAGAATATTGTATTCTGAACCTTTGTATCCTTCTTAGATTCATAGGTGGATGGCCCAAAGCCTTGGGACCCGCATCCACGTGGGAGACCCGAGACCTGGAGGAGACACGAGCTCTGGGCTTTGGATCAGCTCAGCTCTGGCTGTTGCAGTTTCTTGAGGAGTGGATCATCAGACAGAACATCATCCTCTGTCTCTCCTCCTCTCTCTATATTGGACTTTCCAATTAAAAATAATTAAATCTTAAAAAAAGATACACTCTAAATTCTTAGTGTCTAGTATATTTTGCACATGTGCATATAATGTAACCACATAAACAGTTGAGTTTTCTGCTTTACTATTTGCTTTCTATTTGGGACTTATGGTTATATATTCCTTCTCCCTCTTTCTTCGTTTTCATTCTGGTCTTGCCTTGTCTTAACATTCTTTGTACATTATTTTCTAGTCTTTCATTTGTCCTAATTCTTTCCAAACCTGAAAAATTTTAAGTCTGTTTAATCTCATTAACTTCTGGATTATGATTGCCATGAGTTTTAGTGCTACATGTATTTCATATTTCATAACATTTTGCAATTATTTTCGGATATAGTATATATGGATTTACATCTGTCTACACACTGTCCTTTCCAATTACTTCATACACTCCTGCATTTTCATTCTTTTTTTTTTTAATTTTGAAATGGACAACCCTCACCTATAGTACATGGAATTTTTATTAGTTTATTCATAGAGACAGACGGAAATGCTTCACTTTAAAAGTTATTTTTCATTTACAAATGCTTAAACTTCAGGAATTCTAATCTATGTTTAAGAGCCTTTTGTTGTGGCACCCCAAAATTTCCACAGAATTGTTACTAAATACCTCATGGCAAAAGCTTACTGTGTTTTTCCTTTCAAATTTTTAACATGTTATTCCAGTGCTATGTAGTCACTAAAAACTATACTGGGCATTGAAAAATCTCTTGGAATGACACTGTGCAAATGTTGAATCTAAATGTCAATGCATGTCCAGAATTGGCAAGTTCCCTGAGGTGGAAACTACCACACCTTGGAAAAGTTCCTGCCAAGGTAGTGTCAGTGCATCCAGCTGTCATCTTCCTGTAGTTCTTTGTTGCAGTAGGGATAATGATCATTTACTACATCCTACCTTAAAGTAGAATAATCTCCAGTCACTTTTAAAAGATGCAGCCCTATACTCTGAACCTTTTATTGTATTTGTAATGACTTTCTTTTTAATTGACATACAGACTTTTCTAAGTTGAGTGAAAATTTACTTGAGTTGATCGATTAAAGAAATAACACTCCTGCAGAGAAGTGAGGGAAGTGGTATGGGCCTGTTGGAACTGTACCCATGGAATCAATAAAAGTTCTCCTTTATATTAATAAAGGTAATAAGATTTCAAGGATGCACTTGTGATAAAAATGTGTGATGATAGGTCAAGCACTAAGGCTGTGGGCCTTGGTATGGAGGGCATTCTGTGAGGGCACAGATGTATAATTCAGCAGAATATCGGGCAATAAAAGTCAAATCTTGACTTGGTGCTCCACAGTGCCTTTTCTCTGAGGTTACCTAGTATATACTTGCTGCTTGCCCACAGTGCTGCCTGAAGGTAAAGAGACAGCAATACTGGTTATTCCAAGATGGGCAAGGCTATTTCAGGTGCATGCATAATTATTCACACATTTTTGAGGCTACTTAATGCTGTAATTTGATGAGTACTTGATAAAGTGAAACATATAATTAGATTTTGATAGCTATTTTTCCTCATGGTATTTAACCTTTTGTTGTATTTGTAGAAGCAGATTTCCAAATTATATACTGGCTAGCACACTAATGTAAAAGAATTATTTTACAATGCAAATTACCTATCCTAGGTTTATAAAAGTCAACTTTTGATAGAGCCTATTTAATGTTCTTAACTGTGAAATTTCATTAGAGTCAGATATTTTACCTTGGACTGATGAAACGTTAGAGTGGTGTCTTGGAACTTTGCTGGAAGATATCTTCTTCCAAAGAGATGTGCCAATACCAACATTAACTTTTCCATAACATCTTGAGAAAAACGCTTTGAGCCTATACAAAACAAAGAATTTTGTTATAACTGTGAAGAAAATATAATGTTTAAAGTGAATATCATATTTCCTGGGAAAGGAAAACCTTCTATGACAAATGTGGCAACTGAGGAAGAACCATATGTGCTGACAGTTTCCTTCTGTGATGTCCTCTTCATTCTTGCTGTCTCCACCATAGTTTAGAGTCCCAATCCTTCCTTGCCAAATCACCTTCCCAAGATTTCCTTACATTGGCATTCAAGGCTTTTTAAAAATTCAGCCCATAAAATAATCTCAACTTTACTTCCCAACCACCACTCGTTCTAAGGTATTGTCAGCTTGAGTTACTTCAGTGTTTACCACACATTAGTCCTGTTCTGTAGTGTTTAAAAGCTTTTGCTACATTTAGATTGCAACAATATTCCTAATAGTCAAGATATGGAATCTATTAAGGCGTCCACCAGTAGGTGAACAGATTAAGAAAATGTGGTATTGATATGTAATGAAATTATTGACTCAAAGGAAGTGAATAAAATCCCCTCTCATTTGCAGTACTAGAGGACACCATATTGAGTGAAATAAGCCAGAAGCAGAAAGAAAAATGCCACATGTTCTTTCACACGTGAGTGCTTAAAAAAACTACGGATATAAATTTACAGTAGTGAGTATTAGCAATGTAGAGGTACCGGGCGGAGGTTTTATGACAGGCACCAAAAGGAATAAGTTCTGGTGTTCACAGCACTGTGGAGTGACTATATTCAATAGATACTCCTTTTCTTTTGAAAAACTAGAAGAGAAAATGGAAAGCTCCAAACATGAAGAAATGATCAGGAAAAGAAAATATCAGGTGCCTTGTTTGATCAGTAGTGCTGAACATGACATTGACTCTCATAAATATACACACGTGATATGTGCTAACCAAAAATCTTAACAATAAATTTTTCTAAGAATTGCTACATTGAATAATTTAGGCTCTAGAGTCTTCATTCAGATTTATTAAATGTATTGGGTGATGGAATTTATTTAATTTCTCTTTGCCCCAGTGCCCTTATTTTCCAAATGATGCTAATAGATATTAGCCTTATAAAGTTATCAAGTTTCTATACCCATGATTACAACCACATATACCTATCCCCATATCAAACAGAACTATACTTCAGATTGCTGAAATTATTTCTCTTGCAGAACTTTTGGAAGAATGGTAATTTTTTTCAGATTTATTTATGTTTATTTGAAAGGCAGATTTACAGAGAAGAGGAGAGACAGAAACAGAGATCCTCCATTTACTGTTAATCCCCCCCAGGTGGCTGCAATGTTTGTCGCTGGGCTGTTCTGAAGCCAGAAGCTAGGAGTATCCACCAAGTCTCCCATGTGGGTGCAGAGTCTCAAGAATTTGGGACATCCTCTAATGCTTTCTGAGGTCACAAGCAGGTTAATGGAGCCTGCCGGGACATGAACCGACACCCATGGGAAACTGGTGCTTCAGGGTGGAAGATTAGCCTGTTGGGCTATGGCATTGGCGCCAAGAATGGTATTTATAGGGCCTGGGGTGGAGGCCTAGTGGCTAAGGTTCTCACCTTACATTCAACAGGATCCCATATGGGCACTGGTTCTAACCCCCCGGCCACCACACTTCCCTTCCAGCACCCTGCTTATGGCCTGGGAAAGCAGTTGAGGATGGCCCAAAGCCGTCCCTGCATGGGAGACCTAGAGGAGGCTCCTGGCTCCTGGCTTCAGATTGGTGCAGCTCCAGCTATTGCAAATGCTTGGGAAGTAAATCAATGGATGAAAGATCTTTCTCTCTGTCTCTCCTCCTCTCTGTATATCTGACTTTTCAGTAAAAATAAAACAAATCTTAAAAAAAAGAATGGTATTTTAAAAGATTTATTTATTTAAAGGTCAGAACTACAAGTAGACTGAGGGAGAGATCGAGAGACACAAAGATCTTCCATCTGCTGGTTCTTCCCTATATGGCTGCAATGGCAAGGGCTGAGCCAGGCTGTAGGCAAGAGCTTCATTCAAACCTCCCATATGGGCACAAGGGTCCACACACCGTGGCCACCTTCTGCTGCTTTTCCCAAGCCACTAGCAGGGAGCTGGACAAGAAGTGGGCAGTCAGGACATGAAATGGTGCCTGTAGCAGTAGCTTTAGGGACTATACCACAATGCCAGGCTTCAAGAATGATTTCTTTTCCAGTAGTCATGTTTCATATATATACATACACACATATGTAAATGTAAACATATAAAAATAACTATAGAATATTTAGTTATATAATTATAACAATAAGTATATTATATATTAGATATATAAAATACACATATGCACACATATGTTTATATAATGCATATATTACAGTGTGATATATAATATATAATGTGATAAGTATACTATTATATAATGGACATATAAGTATACATATATGTATACACACATAATTTATATATCTGTTATGAATTGTTATTTATGTTAAATTATATAATATATAATTATATAGTTTATATAAAGATATAGTTATATATAAATATATTTATAATTAATGTACTTATAATTACATATTTATATCATTCAATATAAATAGTTATTTATAATTTAATTATAAAATTAACAGTTTGCATTATGTTGTTTCATTATTCTGTAACATCAAATTTTTCAAGTAAATGTGTTTAATTTTTTTTAAAGATTTATTTATTTTTATTGAAAGACGGATATACAGGGAGGAGGAAAGACAAAGAGGAAGATCTTCTATCTGATGGTTCACTCCCCAAGCGACCGCAGCAGCCGAAGCTGAGCCAATCCAAAGCCCAGAGCCAGCAGCCTCCTCTGGTCTCCCATGCGGGCACAGGGACCCAAGGCTTTGGGCTGTCCCCGACTGTTTTGCCAGCCACAGGCTGGGAGCTAGATGGGAAGCAGGGCCACCAGGATTAGAACTGGCAACCATATGGGATCCTGGGCATGCAAGGTGAGAACTTTAACCACTACACTATTGTGCCGGGCCCCTAAATGTGTTTAATTTTGAGTAAATTAAAACTGTATACAACAAGAGTATATTGTACCTAGTTTATTATGTTACATTCAACTTTAATGAGCATTGTAATATTAGCAGTTATTAAATGTTTAATGTTCATTTTTCATATTCACATCAATATCATTTCTAATGGTTTAATGACACAGAGTATCAAATATAAATTTAAAGTTTTATATAATTATCTAACTTTCCTATGTTGTATTTCAATATTTTCCTTTTGAACTTATTCTACCCATTTAAAAAAATATTCAAGTGTTCTATGTTTTATATATAGACATCGATGATTATATGTACTATATTTGAATGTGTGTTCTTGAATTTTAGTATTAGTACTAATTGAAAATATCCAGTAGGGGGCTGGCACAATGGCTCAACTGGCTAATCTTCCACCTTGCAAAACCATCATCCATATATGTGCACTGGTTCATGTCGCAGCTGCTCCATTCCCATCCAGCTTCCTGCTAATGGCCTAGGAAAGCAGTGGAGGATGGCCCAAAGTCTTGGGAACCTGCACCCATGTGGAAGACCTTGAAGAAGCTACTGGTTCCTGGCTTTGGATCTGCTCAGCTCCAGCTGTTGTGGCCATTTGGGGAGTAAACCAGAGGGTGGAAGATCTTTCTCTGTCTCTCCTTCTCTCTGTATATCTGATTTTGCAATAAAAATAAGTAAATCTTAAAGAAAAAAAATGCAACATGTGACCTGGGGCTGTGAAGTGGATAAAGCTGCCACCCATGGTACTGCTATCCCATCTGAGTGCTGGTTTTAAGTCCTGGCTGCTCAATTTCTAGTCCAGCTCCCTGACACCTGAAAGAGTAATCAGAGACATCCCAAGTGCTCAGAGCTATTCTTTTCATGTTAGATAAATGCAAGAATCTCCTGGGTCCTGGTTTTGGACCAGTTCAACTCCTTCTGGCCATTCAACGTTGGAGGCTATTTTGGGAGTGAACCAATGGATTGAGTGTCTTTCTGTGCATCTCCCTTCTTTCTCTCTCTTTGTACCTCTGAACTTTAAACAAATAAAATAAACCTTCAGGGGAAAAAATTGTGTAGAGTGGAATCCACAAATACTCCCACTGGAGAGCATGAGTTGGGATGGGGGCAGACCAGACCAGGCAGGGCTACAACATCTGTGGGCCTCATGTGAGCTAGACTGGGGAAGGGTCAGATTGGGCTGATTGTTGCGACTGGTGCAAGCAAAAATTAAAGTGGGTGAGGGTTGGTTGGGCTTTGCCACATCATCAGCTGGCAGAGGCTGGCAATGCGGGCTAATTCTGCTAAGTTAAATGCCAGAACCACCTGGACAGTGCATACTCCAGAAGTTGGAGTGGCCTAATAGGGAGATAGTGGGCACCTCCCTTGTGGGCAACCACTCCCACTGGAAAGCATGAAAACCAGGACAGGGGCAGGGGTGGCTTGACAGAAAGGCGCCTGCCAGTATGTGTGTGGGCTGGATAGTAGGTTGGTTGGGTTGAACTAGGCTTCAATGCCCATTGACTAGTACCACAGCTAAATGGGAAGTGGGACAGACTGAACAAGCCTACGGTACATCCTGGCAAGCATGAAAACCAGGGTAGGGAGCAGGCCTGGTGGGGATTATGGAGAGTTGCCCCAACTGCAGCTCCCACTGGTTTGCATGAGGACCGAGTATGAAGTGAGTAGCATTGAGCTGGACTACAACACTGATTGGTTCAAGTGGAAGACAGGGCTGGAAACAGAACTGACTCAGCAATTGCAACAGCCAGCATGTGCATAAGCTGATTGGGGTGATGGACTGTGCCAGACTGTGCCAGACCCTGTACGGCAAACTCACGGAAGAATCAGGTTTGGGAGCATCTCAGATGAAGTTTCTTCAGAGATCCCTCCAACTGAACTGCTGATCTCAGAACCCCAACCATGAAGGGACTATGTCAGCCAGTGGATTCTGAATAGGTTTCATTGCGATTGGAATGGCGAGATTGGCAGCAATTCAGAACTGTTGAATTATCAAAACTGCTTGAGCAGGACCCTTGGAGCGTGCCTTACATCGGGGACCTGGGATGGGTGGGTGACTTGTTGGGGCTTTTCCCTTTGTTTCTCCCCTCACCCCAGATACAGGGAAAAAATGATATTAGTGTGGAAACAATGGTCTTGCCCACTTTCCTGTATTCCTTGACCCTTTGTATCCTAATCAACTAAGTAAGATTATCTAATATATATGTATATATATATATACTTACAGGAAATGTACAAAATTTTGGTGGATTAGGAAAAAAGGTTCCAGTTGATAATTTACTTAAGTGAACCATACAACTGTATTCAAAGAAAATACAATTAGAAGAAAATATTCATAAATATTTTCTGTGATTATGTATGGATAGTGTAATTTATTTTTATGTATAATTTATTTTTAAAAATGCTTTTAACTCTTTCCTATGGTATGTTTATAAGGAGATTTTTTTTCTTTTTAGATTTTATATATTCTTTGATATGTCTGTGTCCTGGAGAGCAAGAAATACCTGAAGTTAATTTCGCCCAGAAAAGCTGAAATTGTAAGAGATGTCACAACGTCTGGTTCTCTCTCATTGGCTCTGTATTAGTAAGTATTCACATTGTTTTTTTTCATTTGAGGATTATTTACACAGTGTTTGCATTTTCTCTGTTGAAAAAGTATTGGCCGGGGCCCGGCAGCACGGCCTAGCAGCTAAAGTCCTTGCCTTGAACCTGCCGGGATCCTATATGGGCACTGGTTCTAATCCCGGAAGCTCCACTTCCCATCTAACTCCCTGCTTGTGGCCTGGGAAGCCAGTGCAAGATGGCCCAAAGCCTTGGGACCCTGCACCTGCATGGGAGACCTGGAAGAAGTTCCTGGCTCCTGGCTTCGGATCGGCATAGCATTGGCCATTGCAGCCGCTTCAGGAGTGAATCATCGGATAGAGGATCTTTCTCTCTGTCTCTCCTCCTCTCTGTATATCTGACTTTCCAATAAAAGTAAAATAAATCTTTCAAAAAAAAAAAAAAAGAGAAAGTATTGCCCAAGGCTGACTTTGCACAGATCTGCTGGTAGTTTTAGACTATGCTTGTATATGGAACTTCAATGCTTACCTTTTGTGGTGGGCTGACATAGATTATGGAAAAGGCCTCTTACAAGAAAATAGACAAAAACAAAATTAGACGGCTCATGATAATGCAAATGTGATACAAGTCCAGCAAACCCCATCGGGTTACCTTCTTGATCTACATAGCCCTAAAAAGCAAAACATGATTTATTAGTTTGACTTAGTCACTGTATAATTACTTATGTTACTGTTTACTAAATGCTAATTTATGATAATATTTTATGCCAATATGAAAGATCAATAGTAATTGGTAGTAATTATATACCCCGGCTTTGATAGTTAATCAATTATTATTAGTAGTAACCATTGGATATAACTTTCTAAACACTGCACTTAGTTCAGCCTGGCATGAAATCCAGACATCAGCAGTGGTACTTCAACAAAGGACAAAGCATAACCACGCATACCTCTTTGACCAGTAATTGCAGAGAAAACAAGAAGTAGAGTTTTAGCATCCCTGTGATTCTGGTTTGTTTGAAGGACAGCAAAGAATGCTTCAGCACTGACAGAACCTTTAAGAAATAATACTTTTATTGTGTACTGTTCAGATTATGAAAATATTTGTAAATGATAATGTAGGATTGGCATTATCCATCCATATTATAAATTACATATCAGCAATGTATCAGGTTCCATTCGATTTCATATTATTTGTTTTATCATGTTCCTACATGTCACAGCCTTCCTTTTACCCCAAAAAAGCAGGTAAAATAGAATTGCCAGAAAAGAAACTCTTCAAACACTTTAAGAAAAGCAATTCAAGGAGACCAGCATTGTGGCACTGCAGGTATAGCCTCTTACTGCAATGCTGGCATCCCATACAGGCACCAATTCATGTCCCAGCTGCCACACACATGGGAGACCCAGATGATTGATTTCAGTCTCGTTTTATCTTGCCTATTGCAGTGACCTGAAATTGCATTTTTTTTTTCCTCCTTCCATATAACTCTAAAATAATATACACTTTTTAAAAATCAGCTTCATTTTAAGAGTTAATGGCTCTGGAAGAAAAAAATATGTATTAGCCCAAATTGTATAGAATTGGTGCAGAAATAATAGTACCTGATTTTTTAATTACCCAAAGAGTAAAAATATTGGTTGGTTTCCAGTGGAAAACAGCATTGGAGCCCACATGTCTTTCAAGTGTGTATTTCAGTATCCTTTCCTTATGTTCAACTGCAGAGAGCTTGATTATCATGCAAAGATTGTTTTTGGCTGAACCTATTGGGGATTCTATGTTCCTCCTATATTTTGTTTCCTAATTATTTCACCGTATTAGGGAAGTTCTCATTTCATTGAATACTTATTTTTTTAAAGTGTCTTTTGAGACAGTTTAGTGTCTCTGGGGTCTCTCTTCTTCCTTCCCCCAAGTTCCCTCTGCTCCCCTCTGTTCTCCCCTGCTGTCTCACAATGGGTGTCTTTCGTGAATTTTCCTAAGCCCATCATGTTGCTGCTGGAGTGTCTCCCAACCATGTAGGAGACTGTCAATCGTTTCATTGTGAGTTCATTCTTTTATCCCAGGGCCCTAATGTAGGCACAGTGAGGACTAGATCTTTGTTAATTATTGAAATACCAATAACAGTGATAAAAGGGACGTTGACCATCTCAGGTAATTATAAACAATCTGAGTACATCTTTGAATCTAGCTTCTCTTTCTGCACCTTCAGGCACTCCCATAACTCTTGGATGTGTTTCTTAGCTTGACTCAGTTAATCTTCCAGTTTTTTTGGCTATTTCAGTTACAGAAGAAGGCATCTTCCAATCCCAAAATTCTTTCTTCTGCCTCACTCATCCTATTATTGAGGCTTTCCACTGAGCTTTTAACTTTCTGTATTGTGTACTTCATTTCTAACAATTGAGCTTGATTTTGTTTCAATGTTGCTATTTCCTGTGTAACACACTTCTTAGATTCCTTGAACTCTTGTATGTGTTTCTTCTTGTTGTTAAAAAGCATCATAACAATTAAAAGAATCTTTATAGACAGTTCTTCCACGTCTGCCTCAGTTAACTCTGAGGTTGACATAGGATTTTGTTCCTTTGCAACGGAGGTGTCAGGAACCTTATTCATTTTGCCCTTGGTAACTGCAACTCTGATTAGTGAATTCTTCTCCTTGGGGCTGGTTTTTAAACTGTATCTGTAGGCTTACAGGTCAGCTTTACTGATTCCATTCAGTGCTCAGTTTTTTGCTGTCACTTGTGCCACTCCCTCCAGCAAGATTTTGTCGTGGACTCCCATGTTATGCTCGTGGCTCACCATTCTCCACCCCCTTGTAATCCTGTGCTTTGACCTTACTGTTGCCTGGTCAGACTCTCTCCCATTCCCAGTTCCAGCAGTACCTGGGATTAGGAAGACACCAGCTGTCCTAAACCACAGGATTGTCAGTGGTGCCCATTGCATGGATTTTTTTTTTTTGTCTTTTCTCTTCTTACTAGAATCTGCTAACAATTATGTCTAGATGCAACCCGGACCTATTTTGAATGAAACCCATGGGATGCTGAGTCAGTATTGTTTTCCTGGTGAACCAGTGTAAGGCATTGAGCCAGGAGTGAGTTCTCCCTTGGCTTACCACACACACAGCTTGCTGTTGTTGCTCCTCAAGAGCGTTTGTCGCATTTCACAAAATGGCACCTGATGTGGCATTGCTGAAGGTCTGGACCATGAAATTCACACTGTTCCCATACCCAACTGCTTGAGTTTTGCCACTCTGTGTCTGCTCTTGGTCAGATTAAACAAGTCAGCAGGACCTGCAGTTTGATGGCTGGGTTTGCCTCCCGAGTTCCGGTGTACTCTTATTCCCATCCAGCTGTCAGTGGAGCTCCAATTGCCAATCGGTTGCTGCTGGGTATCTGGTCACTGCAGGACTGTTCTGGTGTCTCTGCCATTCCTCTCATCCACTGGTCTCCAGATTGTCTCTCTGCCATCAGCCTGTCCTATTTCTTCACCTTGGCTAATCCTGCTACATCTGGTTAAACCTGTCCTTACTCTATTGCACCAGCCTGAAAACCCCCAGCACATGTATTTTAAGTTCACCATAAAAGAAAACTTCACATCATCACCAAAACTTAAGCCTGGGTTCCTTTAGACCTCTAGATTTCATAGAACCTTAGAAGAATCACTGCTTTAAGCTGAGCCTTCTGGAAAGAAGGAAGACTGGTAGGGGAAGTGGACTTTACTCTCCATCTCCTTTACTGTGCTTTCTAAAAGTACACCAGATGTAGCCTTTCCTACAAACTCTTCTTCATTTGTCCCATTTAGTGAGAGAAGGCTAGAGTCAGAAACAGTAGAACAGTGAGAATCTGAGGGATGAGGCATGGTGGGTCATTGTAACAACAGTGGTGCAGACCCCATAATTAAACTTGTACTAAAACGGCAAGAATCTTAATAGCACTTCATAATGTAGTCCAGTGATACATTACACACATGTAATCAATGCAGATTGGGAAGGTTAGAAGACAGGGCATCTTTCAGTCCAGAAAGGCAATGTAAGATGAAGATCTGCTAGTTTTGACATGTGAGTGAAAAACTACACACCCAGTCCCAGGTGTCTGAGGGACACAGAATGAAGCCAGAAGAAATTTCATATACCTTATTGGTAGGCAAACCACTACATTTGAAGATTTATATGTGGAAAAACAAGAACACATAATATAATCTGTTATAGATATTTCTAAAAATTTTCAGTCATGCACCTAATATTGACTGAATGTCTATGCCAAAAAAGGCAGCAAATGAACATAGCTGGCTGTAGAGTGCTTACATTCCAAAGGGAAATACAGGGAAGATTAAATTGAACAACCATTGCTGCAATGGCTCAACTAGCTAATTCTCCATCTCCAAGCATCAGCATCCTATGAGGGCTCAAGTCCCAACTACTCCATTTCTATCCAGCTTGCTGCTTGTGGCCTGGGAAAGCAGTAGAGGATGGCCTAAAGCATTAGGACTCTGGGCAAGCTTGGGAGACTCATAAGAAGCTGCTGGCTCCTGGCTTTGTATCGCCTCAGCTCTTAGCTATTGTGGCCATTTGGGCAGTGAACCAGCAGACGGAAGATCTCTCTCTGTGTCTCCTTCTCTGTAAATTTGCCTTTTCAGTGAAAATAAATAAATCTTAAAAGATACATAAATAAATAAACTGAACAGTAACTGCTACATATTTCCCAAAGAACAGCAGTCTCAAGTACAACAGGTGAATGACAAAGACTGGACCTCTGACACTGGTCAGCACGGTACCTTGGCCTTGGCGTCATCTGGGTCATCTCCTTTGGAAGCAAGCAACATAAGTCGAAGGATGAAGGTGATGCTGTAAGGGAACTGTCCTCTCAATTCAGGAACTTTGGATTTTATGAGTTTTTCTATTTTGGGAAATGGAATATTAAAGAAATACACATTTCCAAGCAGATCTTGGCCTCGTCTGCCAGCCCGACCAGACATCTGAAATGAAATAGAATCATACCATGAAACTTCTCTAAATGTTTTCCCAATCCTAGATTAAAATTTGAGCTTGTTGGGGTCAGGACTATGGCTGAACAGATAAAGCTCCTGCCCACAATGCCAGCATCCCAAATAGGTACTAATTCCAGTCCTGGCTGTTCCACTTCCTGTCCAGCTCACTGCCCGTGTGCCTGAGAAAGCAGCAGAGAATGGCCCAAGTTGTTGGGCCTCTGCATTTATGTGGGAGAGTGAAAGAAGCTCCTGGCTTGGGACTGGCCAAGCTCTGGCCACTTAGGGATAAAGCAGCATATGGATGATTTCTCTTGTCTCTCATTTTGTGTCTATAACTCTGCCTTTCAAGTAAATAAATAAAATATTTGGAAAAAAATAACTTTCTGCACTAATTTGGAGTAAATGAATTGTGCATATGCCCAATCATTAATTAACTGAAACTAAAATCCACTTATATGGGACTTTGAAAATGTGCCATGACAAAGACAGAGCTGGAAAATTATGTACTCCTGTGATGCTGTTAATCATAGTGAGCATTTATATAATGATATGGGAAACAAAGAATATCAGAAAAGCAGAGCTTGAATTCAAGTTCACTTAAAACTGTGTTTTACTGTATCAATTATTTTTCTCCATTTTCATTCTTTACCTCATCTCTTTCTCTTCTACCTTGTCACACAAAAGTATGTTGAGTTACAAATTGACAAAAAAACCTCTGTGGCATATGAAGAATATATAAACATGTTCCCCTTTGTACACTTGAAATTGGAGCACAGGGAATCTAAGAAACTTGCCCAGAGGCAAGCAACCGGAAAGTGGAAGACACAGGACTCAGACCCCGGCATTTCTATTTCCAAGTCCATCATCCCAAATATCCCAATATCTTTGTTACTGAGATTCCCAAAGATAAGGCAGGGACAGTTTCTGCAGAATATACTTCAAAGTAGAAATTAAAAATTCAGAGGCAAGTGGATTGATGGGAACTCCTAGGGTGTGATATTGGATCAGAACTGCCCAGTAAATAGAACACGACATATTTAGAGAGGCAGACATTGTGGGGTGGCCTGGCAAGCCACTATCTACATTCCTTTCTCAGAGTAAATGGTTCAAATGCCAACAGCTTTGTGTTTCCCACTCAGCTTGGAGCTAATCCATACCCGGAGAGGCAGCGGATGGTGGATCCACTCCTTGGGTTCTTGCCATCCATGGTCCTGATTCCTGGCTTTGAGCTGGCCCAGTCTCATTGCAGACATTTGTGAAGTGAACCAGCAGTTGAAAGATCCCTATCTCCCTCTCTATCACTCTGTCTTATATAAACATACAGAATAAAAAAAAGAAAAAAAAGAAAAAAAGAATGCTGGGATGCTACTAGCAGAAATATTCATCAAATGTCCCTGAACAAAAAAACTGTATTTACACAAACTATGCTGTCTATAGGACAGAATATAATAAAGAATTGAAAAATTGAAATTGCTCTAATAATACAGAGTAGAGAACACTGGAAGAATGATGACGGATACAGAAATTGCAAAGAGAAAATCAAATAGCACTATGAGAGAATATTGAAGTAGATTTATAGAATACTGTATGTCTAGAGCAAAGAGGGCAGTATTAAGGCATTGTCAAAAGTGCAAAATCCAAAGGGTAAAATCAGTGCAAATGAACTAGTAAATATTTATCAACTGTCTTATAAAGCATTCGATACATTGAAATCCACATTCTGAATAGAGAAAAGGGGGGAGATCAGGTAGTTTACATATCTTATCCAAAGTCAGATACCTGATTAATAGTGTTCTTATTATCCCACACTTGTGTGCCTTCCACATAAGTTAGACAGTCTGGCATGAATGAATGTAATATGTTTGTGAATGAAAGATTTATATATAACTATTGTATGGCCATATGTGGCATTTCAAAAGGTCACGGGAAATGGAATTTACAGATGTTTATTTTGTTGCAAATAAAGCTTGAAATCCATCCATACAAATATTTCAGCATTATATCAAGTTTACTCATATTTATGCACATTACAATACCTGTCTGTAATTTAAAGCATCCAGATAGATAGAGTTTTGAGCAAAAACAACGGATTTACAAGGCATGTTGACTCCTAAAGCAAGTGTCCCAGTAGCAGTTACCACCTGGAAAGAATAAAATTATGACTTCATTTGCAGAATACACATTCTTTTTCATCAGTGCATAGAACATTCTCTAGGATAGACCATATACTAAACAAGTCTCAACAAATTTAAAAAAATATGTATTTTCTGACCACATGGAATGAAGCTTGAAGTTAACAACAGAAAAAATTGTAGAAAATATTTAAACACTGAAACTGAACAATAAGATCCTGAATGAACAGTGGTTCATAGAGGAAAGTAAAAGGGAACTTCTTAAAAAATATTTGCAACAAATGAAAATAAAAACACAATATATTAAGACTTATGGGATAGAGCAAAAACAGTTTTGAGACGACAGTTTATAGCAATTGGTGCCCACATTAAAAAAAGGAAAGTTATCAAATTAATGATTAAGAGTGAATTTTAGAAACAAATGCAAAATTAGTAGAAGAGAAAGAAATACTTTTTAAAACTGAGAAAAGCAATTGTGGCTGGGTAAGCCTTGGTCTGGTGTGCAAGCATCCCATATGGGTGATGGTTTGAGTCCCGGCTGCTTCAATTCCAATCCAGCTCCCTGCGAATATGCCTGGCAAAGCAGTGAAAAGATGACGCAAGTGCTTGAGTCCCTGTACGCATGTGGGAGACCTAGAAGAAGCTTCAGGACCCTGGCTGCTGACCAGCCGAGCTCTGGCCATAGTGGCCATTTGGAGACTGAAACAGGATGAAAGATCACTCTCGCTGCTTCTCCTTCTTTCTCAGAAAATCTGCCTTTCAAATAAAAATACATACATTTTATTAAAAGAGAAAGAGAAGAAATAAACAGAATGAAGTGTTTTTTTTTTTTTTTTTTAACCTACACGGGCCCGGCATGGTAGCCTAGGGGTTAGAATCATTGCCTTGCACGCACCGGAATTGTATGGGTGCTGGTTCATATCTGGGAAGCCTTGCTACCCACCTAGCTCCCATCCTGTGGCCTGGGAAGGCAGCTGAGGATGTCTCAAAGTCTTGGGACCCTGCACCCACGTGTGAGACCCGAAACAGTCTCGTGGCTTCCCACTTTGGATTGGCTCAGCTCTGGCCATTGGCAGCCACTTTGGGAGTGAATATCTTTCTCTCTGTCTCTCCTCCTCTCTGTATATCTCAGTTTCTAATAAAAAATAAATAAATCTTTAAAAACGACACAAAAGACCAATGAAGAGTTGAAAAACACAGACTTGACATTTGCAACAAAATGGATGTAACTGGAAAGCATATGATATGTGAAGATAGATCCAAAAAGAAAAATATCACACCTTCTCTCTTGTTTGCAATAGTTAATGTGGAGAGTAGGTAAAAAAAAAAATTAGTAGGTATTAAGTCTTTTATTATGTAATTAGAAATTTTGCTGCACTGAATCATACCATCTAAATGATAAAATATCTTTTTCTCAAGTCAAAGAGAAGTGGGGCGCAGGTAACAGTGAGGACTGTTGGAATACTAGAAATGCTCAATTTTCATTTGGGTGTTGGTTATGAGTATGATCATATGGCAAAATTCATTTATGTGCATACTTATGTGCATTTCTGTATTGTATTTTAATGTCTAAAAAGAAATGAACAAAAATACTTTTGTTCTCATTGAATGAACAAACAGATACACTTGAAACGTCCTGTTGCAATGAAGTCAAAAAGAGAAATGTGGAGTTATGACATGGTGGTGAAAGTAAAGAAGGGGAGGAAGGGAGGGAAAAAAGAAGCGCAAGAAGCTAAAATTACATGAGAAAAAAAGGTAGTTATAGTTTTTACTTTTCGTGAGCAATCAGAATCACAGTCACAACTCTAATTATTACAATGGAAAACTTTACCTACCCTAATGTATCCTTTCCTAAAGAGTATTTCAACTAACTGTTTCTCTTTGGCACTCATGGAACTGTGATGATATCCAATGCCCCTTTTTGCCAAGTCTTTCAATATATGACCTTTTCTTTGAAATTTTACTCGATCAAACACCATCTGTAAAGTCTAAAAGAAGCCAGGGGTTAGGAAAATTGACAATTTCTTGCTTATTTTTAAGATAATCACAATTTAAACAGTTTGGGTCAAAATAGTATGCATTCTATATGTTAATTTGGCAGCTGTTAGAAATCAATTCCATTAATAAAAAGAACATTTTATGATAGTTACAGAAACTGTGAAAAAATTCTTTCCAACTATTTGAAACTATCCTAAACTATCTCACCCCATTTGAGGGGTTAACAGTACAAGGTTGTTGAAACACCAAGTTAGAGCATTGTGAGCTCATGGTAGTTCTTACTGGAGCCTTCCCCAGAGAGGAAGAAACTCTCCCAGAAAGTGGAGTGGTTTCCTTGTCCTCTATGGTCAGAGAATGCCTACTTGTCACTGCAAAGCAGTCACGAATGGCCTTAAAACTTCCCATGTCCCAAGAGGGAAATCCAGTTGTGTTCAGAGATTGTGAACAAAGTAAACGGTGCTTATGTGTGGAGAGGGAAAGAATAGCCCAAGTATCCAAAAGGAAAGGGCTGCTACTGAGTATTTCAGTTATACAGTCATCCATACAGTAGAATATGAAGGATCCGTTAAAATGTGAGGTACATGATGGTGATGAAAAAGGAAGAGATCATGAAGAAGACACACAATACCTTGGGGGTCTTTGAAAAGTTCATGGCAATTTTGAACCATAAGTGACCATGAACTTTGAAAAAAATGTATCAAAATAAATTTCTTGGGCCCGGCGACGTGGCCTAGCAGCTAGAGTCCTCGCCTTGAACGCCCCGGGATCCCATATGGGTGCCGGTTCTAGTCCCGGCAGCTCCACTTCCCATCCAGCTCATTGCTTGTGGCCTGGGAAAGCAGTCGAGGAAAGCCCAAAGCCTTGGGACCCTGCACCTGTGTGGGAGACCCAGAAGAGGCTCCTGGCTTCTGTCTTTGCATTTGCTTAGCTCTGTTTCAGCCACTTGGGGAATGAATCAGAGGCCAGACATCTTTTTCTCTGTTTCTCCTCCTCTCTATGTGTCTGACTTTCCAATGAAAATAAAATAAAAATTTTTAAAAATTGACAGAATGACACGCTGCAAGGGATTCCATCTGGTAGTTCACTCCTCAGACATGAATAGTGGCTGGGACTGGAACAGAGCCAAGCCAGAAACTCAATCCACATCTCTTACTCACATGAACAAGAGTTCATGTGGGTGTCCCAGCTGTTCCACTTCTGATCAAACTCCCTGCTAATGTGTGTGGGACTGATGTGGAAGACAGCACATCTGCTTGGGCTCCTGTACGTGTGTGGAGAGACCTGAAATATACTTCTGGTCCAGCTCTGGCTATTGCTGCCATCTGGGGAGTGAACCGGTGGCAGGAGATCTGTTTGTCTCTTTCTCTCCCTTTTTCAGTCCTCCCCCTGCTATAACAGTCTTTCAAGTGAATAAATAAAAAAAAATTTGTTCACCATGTGTTCAAATTTTCAAATGTGGCTAGGAGAGGACAACCACAATTCAGGCCATGGAAAACAATATCATAGGTGGAGAAGAAAGGCCAGAAATTCTCAAGGGAAAATGTTAATGAGCAAGAAACAGTCTAAATCTATACTTCTCAAGATTCATGCAGCAGAACTCTTAAGGGGCTTGTGTAGCCAGAAAGTCACATATGGAACTCCTCTTCTGGCAGAGATGACATTTAGAGATCATGTTAGACCTGTCTGTGACTGGGAAGGGTTGGCTGATGAGTGAAACGTCAGGGAGAACAAGTCCACTTTAAGTCCTGACCTCAGCATCGATAGCTTTTGGATCAGCGTATGTGCAGTCCTGAGGAATTTCCAGGTTCTTCTCCAAATTCTTCAGTAGATGATCATGTTCGGCTTCGTGTATCAGGCTTTGATCCATTGTTTTATTCCTCTTCTGGCCTTTTTCATCTCTGTTCATAGAAATAAAATTTTATGCAATCAATATTCACATTTGGTCATCAGGTTTAACCCCAATCATTCTTGTCAATCTTCTGCATTATTAGTATGCATCTGTACTATCACAACTGAATCTCCTCACACAGCTGCTCACCTGCCTCTGAAACTTAAGAGACTTTCACTATGTATTCCTTCTCACCAAATCCAGTTCTGCTCAGATAGCTTTATTTCCCATCTGCTAAAATGATAATCATACTCTCTTCCTTAGCGTACAGCTTCTCTGAGTTTGGTTGCTAAAATTTATCAACCGCTTCATTCCCTAAGAATTATTTGCCACTGACAGGAGCCTCATTGAAATTTCTGGGAAGACAGCATACTTTTCTGGGGATGAGGGAGTGGCTCAAAGCGAATAACCAGTTGAAATGAGGAATAAAAACCAGTCCATGACTCAAGCAGACAATGCTAAGGTGGCCTGCAACATTTAACAGAACCAAATTCAGGTTTGTTCCTGCAAAACCCACATTGTCGCTTCTCTGTATCTTCCCTCTCGATTCCCTCACTTTCTTGCACCATACTCATAAGAGCACCCCTTCTTTTAAAAATCAGTCACACAAGACATTCCCATCACAGCATGTGCTACTAGAGTATCTGACACTCCCCCACAATCCTGATTTGAACTCTTAGATCATCAAACTGTATTATCTTCTACCCCAAACATGACAACATTTCTCTCTGTGTCTCTCTCTCTCACACACACACATTAATTTGTCTTTTTAAATTGTGCACATTAGACAGTTCCTAACAGGAGAAGATGAACTTGCTTGTGTTGTATCATTCAGTGTTTTCACTTCTGATTAACATCTCCCTTAACTCAAGGGAGAATGCCCTAATATTTGCAGACTATGAGGCTTACACAGGTCCACATCTCCTCTAAGTTCTAAATCAAGATAACAAACTATTCCCTGAAATACATTGTAGCATCCTGCCTTGAAACCATAGCTCTACAACAACCTGCAATTTATTTAAATGACTTCTGGTGGGCATGTCTCCTTAACGCTGCTGACTTCTCATTTGGCAGGCATGCATGCAGATGAAGAAGGGATGCTCTAGCTTAGGGCCCAGTGCAGGCATCCCTCAACCTCAGTACAATGATAATGCAAAGTAAGATATCAAAACACACTGTCCTATTATAGCACGAATTGGTCACTAATAAAATTTGAAATGTGGCTCTGATTACCTCGAATAAAATTTGTCTAAGGACAATCTGCTATTAGGAAGTCTACACGTCCTACACTATGTCTACCACAGCTCTTCATTGCCCACATTGCTAAGGAAACAGCAAAAGGAGGCAGAGGGGATATACACATATGGATCAGGAGAAATTCCAGGTTGCTCTGTGATTTCAAAAATTTGAGTCAGAGAAGTTCGAGAAGCTGTCTTAACATAGAAGCCAATACCTGCTTCTCAATCAATAATAGCTCTGGAGTAAGTATTACCTAGCAGACCATACAATAAGCACTGGACATAAAAAGGGGGAACACACCACACCTGTTCCTTTTGTAAGGGAGCTTAACATTAAGAAAGCAGAAACACATCCAAACACAAAACAGCAGTAGGCCTACATTACAATAGCTGATCTATCACTAGAAATATAGCATGAACATGGGAGAAAGCATAAGTAAGTCTATTGGGAAATCAATACAAGATTCAGAGAAGAGGTAGAAAATGCTTGAACACAAGTTTTCAGGAAATGAAGAAGGGCAATCAAGGCAGAAATTTCCTGGAAAGAGGTGCACATGTAGGCTGTGTGAGGTACAGTGTGAATGCTGAGTATTGCTAGAGGAGAGTAACAATGGCAAAGATCAAAACATGTTGGCATACTAAGTAACAGTCAAGCAGTTCAGACTTCATCAGCTCACTAAAGATCATCAAGTACAGGAAAAATTTAATCAGCTTGAATACTTGCAAGATCATGTGCAGGCTAAATTGAAAGATGATGAATCAATGGTGAATCTCAAGGCTCTGAGATCCTTGAAGAAAACTTGTATTCATCCAAACAGATGTGATGAGCATCCAAGACAGGCAGTGATGGAGGAGCACAGAAGAGAATGAACATATTGACCCTAGAGCTGACACCATAAGGTACTACAAGGGAAGACAAGTAGCAATGTTTTCCAAGCCAAAAAGCAGTATTCGATCCAATCTCAGGCTTATTCTGTGATCACTTATTTTTTAAAAGAGATTTGAAAAAAATATATTTATTCATTTTGAAAGAGTCAAACAGAGAGGGGGAGAGACAGAGAGAGAGATCTTTCATCCACTGGTTCACTCCCCAGATATCTGCAGTGGTCAGTGGTGAGCCAGCCAAAGCTAGGAGCTTTATCCAGGTCTCCCACATGAGTAGCAGGGGCCCACACATTTGGGCCACCTTTAGCTGCTTTCCCCATTCGATCCAGGGACCTGGATTGGAAGTGGACATGAACTGGTTCTCACATGGGACCAGCATTGTAGGTGATGGCTTTACCACCAATGCCACAATGCTAGTCCCAAAACGTATTTATTTGTCTGATAGGCCATGGTACAGAGTAAGGGAAAGAAATATGTTCCAGTTCCTGGTTTACTCCCTAAATGGTTGCCACAGCCAGGACTGGAATTCCAACTAAGTGTCCCATGTGGGTGGCCAGTTTCCAAGTACTCATACCATCTTCCTTTGCCATCCTAGGTGCAGTAGCAGGGAGATGGATCCAAAGTGGAACACCTGGGACTTTAACCACCACTCTTATGGGATGTTGGTACTGTAAACAGCAGCTTAGCCTACAGCACCACCACACTAGCCTTACCATTCCAGGATCACTTAAAAACTGCAAGAACAAGTGATACATCTTTATTGTCACACAATGTATGCAGACTTCTGCGGATTCACTGGGAGTCCAACATCAAGTATATGTGCCAAAAATATGCTTATTTGAGGGGATAATGAGTTTGTTTCGTTAAGTAGTGCACATAGGCTTGAAAGCTGTGGTACCAGGCCCAGAGCAATGACAGAGTGCCTAATCCCCACCTTGCATCTGCCGGGATCCCCTATGGGTATCAGTTCATGTCCCAGCTGCCTCACTTCCCAACCAACTCCCTGCTTGTGGCCCGGGAAAGCAGTAGAGAACAGTTTAAAACCTGGGTATTCTGCACTCTTGTGGGAGACACAGAGGAAGCTCCTGGCTACTGGCTCTTGGCTCCTGGCTTCAGGATCAGCTCAGCTCTGGCCATCATGGCCACTTGGGGAGTGAACCAGAGAACAGAGAATCTTTCTGTATCTCTCTCTCTGTATATCTTCCTTTCAATAAAAATAAATAAACCTTTAAAAAAAACAAAAACAACAACAAAAAAGAAATCTGTGTTACCACATTTCCCAGGTTCTAAATGAGACTCATTTATGCAATCTAAGATTTTGAGTTTATGGCCACTTGTTTACTACATTTTCTGATCCAGATTCACTAAACTTGTAAGCAAGGCTGGCCATCAATGAGCACTTTGAGGAGTACTTTCACTGTATTTTCTTACTGGAATTTAGAAGAGTATTTTAACCCTCTTATGAGAAATTTGTTTAAGTACTTACTGAATCTTTTGTTTCTCTATAGATTTTTTAACTTTCCGAAGTTTGTTGGCCATGTCATGGGCTTCCTTGTCAGCTTTAGGAGGCCGTTTCTTCTCCTGCTTTTCATACAGGAACGCAAACACATTTCTTGCTCTGTTTTCTACGGCTGCTAAGCTGAATCTAGAAACAAATGAAAAGAATGCTTGCCTAAAAATACCATCATAAACTTCAAAGGCCATTTACATCTATTGTTAGCATTCTGATGAACACCTACTAGTTTTTTAATGTTCCTCTTTATGAAATTTTCCCGTGGATGTGCATACCAAATGTTCCTGGAAAGCAGTCCCTTATTAGCAAGCTCACACTAATATTGCTCTCCCAACCCCTACACCAGATGCTACTCTGGGGAAATCCTGAAGCAGAACTGATGGAAATTTTCCCCATAAGAGGATTGGATACTCTATAGTCAAAAGTCAAAAAAAACCCCATGAATCTTAACTACCTATACACAGAAGAAAGCTATCCATCTCTGTCTATTCCCAAAGCCTAAGGGAGAAAAATCATCTTCTATCATCAGTAATTATTTGTTTATTTGGCCAGATGGGAAAAAATTCATACATTCTTACTTTTGATCTTTTGGGATGTGACTGCTTTCAAGAGACCAGATAAAATTAGGTTTTCCTAGCTTTTACACTACAGAAGTTTCTGTGAGGTCTGGGCCTTATACTTTCTGAAATAAAAATTCCTAGGAAGACAGGAGTCTAGATCTGCTGGAATCTTGGTGCTTAAACCAGAAACAGTCCAGGCTGTAACCATCTGTTCTCTCAGACTTGAGTAATTAACTAGGTGAAAGACGGCAGATAAAATTTTCCTGATGTATGAAAAGTAAAATGCTTCCAGAGGAAGTAATAGCAAACAGCATTTTTTCTATTCTACATGCGTTTCTCAGTATCAGAAAGTTAGGGCTTTTTACATGAGCACTAGAAAACCCAGAGACATTTTAATTTTCCACTATATTTTTGGTAAAATTCTAGGGCTAAAATAGTCACTCACCTGACATGAACCACAGCTTATCAGAACAAATCATAGGCTTGATTTATGTAATAAAGCTTAAATGTCTAAATTATGAGGCAAAGGGCATTTCTAAAGTACAGAGCTAGAAATATGGTTAACTAAATTGGCACAGTCATGAAGCAAAGATCAGGAAAGTAACACTGACATATGGCAAGAAATTTCTTGTAGCAGACAATAAAATAGTAGCAGTAGTCATTTATATTAACTATTGTCAGACATTATTTTACATAGCTTACATATAGGACTCACTGTTAACATTCCTGATTTTGCAGATAATAACACAAGAGACATGAATAAGTTATGTGGCTGGCCCCAGAGGCCACAAGCAGCAGAAGGCACAGTCTGGCCTCCAAGCCCATGTTGTTCACTATGACATTCTGTTGCTTCTGTCTCTACATTAACACAAGTGACTAGATCCTAAGCACATATTTCTTTATTAAATGCTACCATTTTCATCAAGGTACTTTACTTGTAGAAACGGCAAATGACTTATGAATGAGTTTGTCTCTTAAATGTCTCTGATTACCTATGTTGGAGCAAAGGTGATCTAGAACTTGGTCATTGGCCAATGCCGTTTCACAGTACTGCACCAAGTGCTTTTGTAACTTAACTCCACCCTACATCTTACTAGTTTTGTCTTTGCATTGTTTGCATGAGGAAAACAAGGTTCACAGTTATTAAGTAACTATGCAGAAGTGACACAGCCTACAGGCTACAGGTAGCAGAGGTAAGAAGAAATTTGGACCTAGCCATAAAGTGTATAGTCTTAAGCATACAATGATACTGCTGGCAAAAACTGCAAACTCCATACATTTTTATCTTGTGACCAGTCATTGGGGTTTGTTGTGGATGTATGATTAAAAAGACCTTAGAGGTTAGTGTCAGCCCAGACAAATGCTCAGATCTCTTGATGACCTGGAGCCACTTAGGACTAAATCAAACAGCATAAGATGTCTTTAGACCAGGATTTCATAAAATCCTACTGAGATACAACGCACCCAGTAGAATTGGACCTGTGTTGTTTTGGGGAAAAATGATTACGGTTAAAGTTTCGTACTTGAAACATTAAATTCACCTATCTGGCATATTCTACTTTGAGGTAAAGATACCCAAAACCAGCAAGTACAAGAGGATGGTTCTCGGTACCCCTCTTTTTCTTAAAAACATGATGCTTTATGCCATTTTTATCATCAAGGACAGGAAATGGAGGGAAGGCAAATCTATACAAACAAACGTTGTTGAATGAATTCTTTTCTTCCTTGTCACCTGATCAAGTTAGTTATCCTATTTCAAACCTTTTTCCTAAATCATTTTTACCTTGACCTCTTTTTGTCCATATAAGTGCTCATCTCTTTGTCTTTTAGTCTTTATTTCTGTACTGATGCTCCTATGCCATATAAACCTTATATAAACTTGAATACATTTATCTCAGTGGTCTGTCCTATATTAATAAAACCATAAGGCTCATACAAAATACTCTAAAGCACTAGAAGAAAAATGTTGCTTTCCCACAAAAATATATATGAGTATATATTGAACTATAAGTATGCAATGATTATTTGTTTTTTTTAATAATTTGTATTTTTAATGGCATGTCTCTTGTTTTTCTTTCTTTTTTTATTGTTATTAACATTGTATTATGTGATACAGTTTTATAGTCTATTTGGGGTTTTTTTGCAGTCAGCTACAGGAAATAATTCATCAACAATCAGAATTGTTTTTTTCTAATTATTATTTTATTTATTTCTGAGACAGATGGAAAGCCCTAATCCACTGATTCAGTTTCCAAATCCCACGACATCCATAGTTAAGCCAGGTTGAAGCTTTAGTCCAGAATTCAGTCCAGGTCTTTCATGTGGGTGACAGGGACTCAACTGCTTAACATCACCTGCTGCATCCTGAGGTACACGCTAACAGAAAGCAGGAACACGAAGTGCAGCAGGCACTTCAGCTTGAGCACTCTTCCATGACATTCCATGATGTAATAACCATTGTGCCAGAATTATTTTCATTCCTAACTAAAATCGACATCCATCCTTGAGGAAGCAGGAGAACTGTGTTAGTTATTAGTGATACAGAAATTTGTTTGAAGGTAGGTGCTGTGGTACAAATGGTTAAGCCATCAAATAGGACTCCCACCTCTCATACCAGATGTGGGATACAGTCCCACTGCGTATGCTCAAGCATCCTGTTAATTCCTGGGAGGCAGCAGCTGATTTCTCAATTGTTGTGTCCTGCCATTCATATGATATCCTTATGGTTTTATATAAGTACATAGTTTTTTACTTTATTATTCATGTATTTTTTCATGATGCAGTTCCTTAGGCTCAGGGATTTCTCCTTCTACCCTTCTCCCCCCATTTCCCCCTAACTTTTTATATATTATATTATATTATATTATATTATATTATATTATATTATATTATATGCCATATATTATAATAATAGTAGACTTGAATGGTGCTCCAGGTGTCTGGCTTCAGTCTGGCTCAGCCTTGGCTGTTGCAACCATTTGGAAAGTGAACCAAAAGATGAAAAACTCTCCCCACTTTATATATTTCACATAAGTAAAAATAAACATTAGGATATTTATTTTTCTCGTCCCAGTAAAAAGTAAGAAACAATTTTATTGTAATATTCCAAATTTCTAAATGCAAGCTTTTATTTGTCATTATTACATTAAACAGACATCATCAATGGTGATTTATTACTGGATGTGTGTTTGAATATGAACAAGTTTCATTAGGTTTTACCACCTGGGATTGGCTTCTTTCACTGATCATAATGGTCTCTAGGTGGGACTATTTTGATGCAAATGATTGAATTTCATTGTTTTTAATGACAGCATTATTCTGTAGAGTAGCTTTCTACAATTGTCTATACCTACAATGTCATGATACACTTAAATAGCAGAATGATGGACTTGTGACTGTTGCTGAAGGATTGTACTATTGTTATATAGGCATATGATATAATATAATATAATATAATATAATATAATATAATATAATATAATATAATATAAAAATAGTTACAGGGAGATGGGAGGAGGAGGGTAGAAGGGGAAATCCCTGAGCCTAAGGAAATGTATTATGAAAAATAAAGAAATACACATATAATAAAATAAAAAATTATGTACTCATAAAAAACCATAAGGATGTCATAAAGCTGTCATTGGAATGTCATAACCAATCATGATTTTATAAACACATTCTGATGTCATCAAGTGGGATGTGGTGTAATCCAGAATGGTAAAATCATAAACTGACAATACTAATGGTAATGTCATAGTGAACTGTAATACCATAAAGCTATCATAATGGCATCAAAATCAAGTTGTAGGGCCCGGCACGGTGGCACTGTGGTTAAGGTCCTCGCCTTGCACGCCCAGGATCCCATATGGGCGCCGGTTCTATCCCGGCGGCCCTGCTTCCCTTCTGGCTCCCTGCCTGTGGCCTGGGAAAGCAGTTGAGGATGGCCCAAAGCCTTGGGACCCTGCACCCGCGTGGGAGACCCGGAAGAGGCTCCTGGCTTCGGATCGGCATAGCATTGGCTGTTGCGCTCACTTGGGAAGTGAATCATTGGACGGAAGATCTTCCTCTCTGTCTCTCCTCTCTGTCTCTCCTCTCTGCCTTTCCAATTAAAAAAATAATAATAAAAATAAATCTTTAAAAAAAAATCAAGTTGTATATCCTAAATCACTGCATTATAGTAATTAAGTTTGTCATTATAAATAACCATTTTACTCCTGTAAAATTATTGTGATTCCATAATTAGTTTACAATAAGCCACCATTCTGATATTATAGTCAAACATTGTGATATTAAAGTCAATTGTGCAGACATACAACCATATCAATCTCATAAACCTAATATCGTGATCTTCATAATTATATCATAATTCACCATTGTATTTTCATTAAAAACATTGTAATGTCACCAAATTAAAAAAAAATTAGCACTTGAGTGAAATACTATGCTTTCATCTATGTAAAGCTTCTGTAGTGTAAGTGTAAATAGAAACTATCTAAAGTAAATTATGTATTCTGTTCTGATCCCTATGTTTTGTTTGTTTCAAATATTTATTTATTTATTTATTCATTTATTTGAAGATCAGAATGACAGATAGGGGAAGAGACCAAGGGAGAGGTCTTCCATCTGCTGATTCAGTCCCAAATTAGTCTAAAGTAGCCTGGCTGAGCCAGGAGCCAGGTTGTTTCAGATCTCCCACCTGGGCAGCAGGACCCAAACACTTAAACCATTCTCCATTGCTCTTAACAGGCCATCAGCAGAGAGCTGGATTGGAAGTGGAGCAGCCTGGACACAAGCCAGAGCACATGTGGGATGCCAGCTTTGCAAGTAGTGGCTCTACTTGACACACCACAAATCTGGCAACCAGATATGTTTTTAAGGTTAATCCAGGCAATGGAATGTTAATCCACTTGATAAATTATCCATTGGTGTAAAACTGGACTATTCTGTTATATTATTTGTAAAATATTTATTTGCTTTTATTAGCAAGGCAGATTTACAGAGTAAAGGAGAGACAGATAGAAGGATCTTCTATCTGTTGGTACACTCCCCAGGTGTTCTCAATGACCAGGAGCTTCTTGTGGGTCTCCCATGCAAATGCAGGATCCCAAGACTTTGGGCCATCCTCAACTGCTTTCCCAGGCCATGCGCAGAGAACTGGATGGGAAGTAGAGCAGCTGGGACATTAACTGGCACCTATCTGGTATCCCGGCACATGCAAGGTGAGGACCTTAGCCACTAGGCTATATTGCCAGGCCTCTCTGTTCAACTTTAAAATATTTTTAGAGTACAACATTTAAAATGCAGCAATTACCTATAACTCCTATTTCTTATTAGTATAAACTTGAAGTAATAAAACAATATTCTGTCATGTTGTAATAGCGTTTTAATTTTATGTGGGATACTTGCCTGTTTATACATGCAACTTGTCTGACAAACATCCTAGGTATGTATTGAAAGAAGACCTAACTTTTTTTAAAAACAGTGTATAGCACACAGAAAACAAAAAATGCAGTAGCAAACTAAAATATGAGTTAATTTTTAATAGTATAAGTAGGATATTTAAGAAAAACTGAACTACAAAGACAACTTTAAAAAAAAAAAAACCTATGCATTTGAAAAAGAAATGAGCAACAAAAACAGCAATTAATACTATAACCCACCACATCTTACAGGAATGCAAATACAGAATACAAACTGTAATACAAATTATAAACAAAACAAAAACTTACAAAAAAAATAATGCAGGTAACTTGTCCATCTCCCGTAGCTTCTCAACAAGAACTGGAAACAGATTGTCTATGTTGTTTGTGCTAACATTCGCATGGGGATGGAGATTTCTCAGCACCATTTCGGCCTGAAAGAGTGTTCAAAAAACACTTAAATTCTGATTTATTATTTTTATTAAGATACTTTCAACATTAGATGATCTATGTTTCTGTGGTTCTTTAACATTGTCCTTGAAAGTGTATCATAGAATCAGCCCTTAGAGACTACTAAAAATATTTTGCTAAAGAACAAAATGTAGTAGCACTAATACAATGTAACAGATGATTTTTTAAGACAGCCTAAGTCAAGAAAACAACTGTTCACAAATTGGTGCTGGTTCTTCCCTGGCAGCACAAAGGGCAGCAGGCAGGGTTTGGGCAGGGAGGTGATGGTGAACCAGTCTCTCTGTACTGACCCTACTGATTTTTCCATGTGGGAAAATTATTTTCAAACACATTTTTCATTATTATTATTTTTTTTTTTTAGGAAACACAGACACAGACACACACACACACACACACACACACACCAACAAACGCGTAAGTTCTTTCAGTCTTTTTTTTTAAATAGGAACAATTAAAGTATACTTGGGAAAAATACATCATTAAAGAGTCTAATACAAACTACTCCTAAAAAATAAGAAATCACCATCTGTGACTTTAAAGCACAGTTCAAATCATTAAGACTGGACCTGGTTCAATAGCCTAGTGACTAAATCCTCGCCATGCATGCACTGGTATTCTTTATAGACACTGGCTCATATTCCAGCTTCTCCACTTCCCATCCAGCTCCCTGCCTGTGGCCAGGGAAAGCAGTCAAGGACGGCCCAAAGCCTTGGGACCCTGAAACTGCGTGGCACTGGCAATTGTGGCCACATGGGGAGTGAACCAGCATAGTGAGGATCTTTCTCTGTCTCTTTTTTTGTCTGTAAATCTGCCTTTCCAATAATAATAAATCTTTGAAAAAAAGCATAAAGACCATCAAGTTGCTCAAAGTATGCATAATTTAAATGACTGAATTTCAGTCTTTACGTCACAAACAATGACCACAATTAAAAGTAAACATCATAAAAAATATTTCAAGAAAAAAAATCCCCATGCAATGTTTTCAAAGATCCAAAGTATATGAGTCTGCCTAAGCTTCTAGACCCTTGTAGCAGGATCGGGGCACTGTAAGTCTGTCCCTGTGGACAGTGAACCCTTTGTTTTTGGTTGTTACAGCATCCAGGAACAACCAGCCACCATATGTCTTAGGAAACACTGAGGATAAGACAAAGATCTCTTTCCTTTGTTTCTTTATATTTTATCTTAGGATCACAAGACTCCATGTTCAATTTACAATTCTAAGATGAAAATTGAAGATTAAGTAAACAGGAAATGGTATTAACTAAATGACACAACTGAAAACAATATAGAATATGGAATATTTTCCCCAAAACACAAAATCTAGGAAAACTACCTTCTTTATGTTGCCATCTGTAACCCAAGTTCTTAATTCTTCCTTTAAGCTCTCTTCGTATTTTCTGGCATCCAGCTTTTTAATGACTAATTTATTCTTAAAATAAATGAAGTTCTCTGGGCATAATTCCTTGAAAACAGAGGCCACAGAATTAAATATCATGCAAGACAAATCCAAACATGACTCCTAATGGCATCTCTCATCAACAGAACCATTGTTATGAACTCTTGAGGAGAGAGATGTATGAAGCTGTTTTCATCTCCCCGTAAAACTATTAGGTTAGATGAACTCATGAAAGCAAAGGACACAGACTAACAAAGTGGAAAATGAAAACAGCAAGAACCACGTTCAGAAAGAATGCAAGTATAATGGCATACAAGCCAACAGTGTGAAGAAATTAAAATATGATATTTTTAGACAAATTTAAAGAAATATTATTGAAATTAAACCACAATTTAAAACCCATTAATAGAAAATAAAAGTGCTAGAAAGAAGAAAGTATGAGAACAATTTTGCTTTGGTAGTATCTACTAATTATTTTGAAAGATCAGAGGCAAGAGATTAGAAAGGGGGAAATTTTGTCTTAATATTACTGTTACTATTACTTATAAGAATCGCAGCATTAATTTCCATAATTATTTTTTACCTGAGCCTTGGGCCAGCTGTCCCATGTTTGAAACATGATGTCGTAGAGCTGGACACTTTCTCGAGGTGAAAGGGAAAGATCAGAAGGGAATCCGTATCTTTCAATCTATGTTTAAAACAAATTGAATCAATATTGTTTTGATTTTATCATGTCTTCACCTTGCCACAAGGTTGCTATCATGAACCCAAAAATATTAAAAAGAGTTGAACTAAAATGTTCAAGTGCTGATGGCTCAAAATACTAACAAGTTATGGTCCACAAGTGTTTCTGAATGATTAAAGCATGAACAAAATCTCTTAATTTCCACCTAAAATAGGTTTCATGTTAATTCCCATGATCTTCCAAAGGGTGTAATTTTCTTTTTTTATTTAAGATTTATTATATTTTTATTGGAAAGGCAGATATACAGAAACAGGAGAGACAGAGAGAATAATCTTCTGTCCATTAATTCACTCCCCAAGTACTACAAATTGCTGCAGTTGAGCAGATCTGAAGCTCGGAACCAGGAGCTTCTTTTGCATCTCCCATGTGGTTGCAGGATTCCAAGGCTTTGGGGCATCTATTGCTTTCCCAGGGCATAATCAAGGAGCTGGATAGGAAGTAGAGTTGCTGGGACATAAACCGGCACCCATATGAGATCCTGTGTTTTCAAGGCTACTTGAGCCATCACATGCTGGACCCTGCATGTGATTTTCTATGAATTGTCTTATAATTCCAGTAAGAGTACTAGAAGCTGAAGGATTATGAGTTTAGACAAGATCAGACAACTCTACCCTATAATAAAAAGTGAAATTTGATTTAATTATGAGTGAGTTGTACCATGCCTTCATAAAGAGGGAAAATCTATGCATCAGTATACCGTGATGTTGCTTTTGCAATCCACATTGTCCCTGATGCCATAGAACATGGTAAGCATGGATCCAGGCTGGGCAGAAAGCGACAGCTATTTTTGAGGGTCTTCCTGGGCAGAGAGGTCTCCAGGAGTCAGCAGCAGTTGCTAATGGCAAAGGCCAAACATTTCTGCTCTGACCTGAAACAAGCTACACACAGATTGAAGGTGATCCCTCACTGCAAATGGATCAAAGCCAGCTCACTTGTCCTTTCCCATCCTTTCTCTGGAAAATGCAATTTATTGCATTTTTAACTTGCCACTCTGTTCTGTTATTAATTTTAGCTATACTGAACAAGATCAGGATATAGAAGGTCTACAAATGTCTTATCATTGCTACGTAAGGAAATGTCTTATGTAACTACTTGCTACATATTCTACTGTCAGTGAGAAATAGAACATTCCTTTTTCAATGAAGATAAAATGAAGATAATTAAAATATCAGCTGTAAAGCACTGGGTATCTCTGATAAGAATCAATTAGGCAGGTTTAAAATTATTTATACAAGCAATTTATATCAGGACAAATATGGCTAAAGTATTGCTTACATGATCTGTTGTTAGCGCAGCACATGGGTGAAAATGTTTAAAGTCAATGTCATCTTGATTAATTGAGCAAATATACTTCTCTAAATCATTGTATCTCTCTCCATAGAGCACTAAAAATGAGGAGCACAAAGTTCAAATTGATGAAAATGCAATGATGTAAGTTCAAAGGAAAAGATAATATGTATTATACATGTATCAAACATACCGAGTCTAACTTTATATGATTGTCTGACTCTCAAGTAATGTTTGGGGTAACTGGTAGGATGACCATCTTTTTTCAAAGAGCTGTTTTTCTGTATGATGGCATCTTCTTGTCTCCAGTATTGTTTAACTGACTGAAGCCACCTGAAGAAATAAATTTACATACTTTAGGCATAGCATGGAACTCATCCCTAGGAAGTTGAATAGTGTAAGCAAAGATCATCTCAGGTACCTTAAAAATCTATGCTTAAGGGAACTAGCTCCAGTGCCCAGCCACCTGAGAATGGATTCCAGCCTCTTTCCTGAAAGTCATGGTTCTGGGCTGAATCACTCAATCTTTTTTTTTTTTTTAAGATTTATTTTTATTATTTTTCTATTGGAAAGGCGGATATACAGAGAGGAGAGACAGAGAAGAGAGACAGAGAGGAAGATCTTCCGTCCGATGATTCACTCCCCAAGTGAGCACAACGGCCGATCCGAAGCCAGGAGCCTCTTCCGGGTCTCCCACGCGGGTGCAGGGTCCCAAAGCCTTGGGCCATCCTTGACTGCTTTCCCAGACCACAGGCAGGGAGCTGGATGGGAAGCGAGACTGCCGGGCATGCAAGGCGAGGACCTTAACCACTGCGCCACCGCGCCGGGCCCGAATCACTCAATCTTTCTGTGCCTCACTTTCCATATTTTACAATGAATACCAGTAGTATTTGAAATGCTGTGGTACACTACTCCAGTAAATCACAAAGAGTTTCAGGTATTGAAAATGCATTCTCATAAAAGCAAAGCACTTAGAACCGTACCTGACATATTATGCTGTTATAATTGTTAGTAGCAGGCAAATATCAATCCCAAAGACAAATTAATATGGGCTGTTTATCTTGGGAGCAACTGTACAAACTGAGACCATGGTTATCAGGGTGCAAGGCTGAGTGTTTCTGGGTATGTTTTAGCTTTTATTTGCTGGTGAAAATTTTAAAAAACCACAGACCTGACATTTCTGATGTAATATTTTGGGGGAGATATTTCCTATCCAATTGCAGGACTGAGTATGGGAGTGCTTGATTTCCCATTCCCAAAGAATGTGGCTTTGCTCAACACCTGCTGACAGGTGCTCACGAGAACCAAAAATAAGTCATAAAGTTTACTTGCAAGTTAGGAAACCCTTCAGAAGCCATGCAGAGAGTATGAAATGCGAAGACCCAAGAGGTAAACATGTTCAAACTGAAACCCAGTTCATACGCAGTGAGATGCTCAGGGTTACTGATGGTAGCAGAAAGAGCCAGAAAAGGACATCTGATCATGACAAGGAGATGCTCCCAGATTTCTGCTCCAATTTCTCCACCAAGACAATGGACCTATTAAAGAAAAAATATTTTCCTCAGTTGAAAAGTAGAGGAAAAAAAGAAAGAAAATGAGAATGGAAATCATCATATATACTTTCCAATAATCTTTAATTGACTAAGGTAAAATAAAGGAAAAACCCATGAGATAAAAAATTTAGCATCTGAATTTGCTTCCAATAGTAGCAACGCTCCTTAGTTTAAAAAATTCTTTTCCAATATATATATTTCTGGTCAGAACTACGCCAACCAAGTCACCACCACAACTCAGTTGTCCTAACATAATATCCTCCTTACTGCTATGCTTCCGTTTTCTCATACCTTTCTACATTCTTCAGAAGATAAATGAGATCAAGTCATATCCGCAATAGGATTCCTTCAGTGTATAGCACACTGCTCATGGAACAAAGTATAATCTCGTTGATGGGATGCACAATGCATAACATAATTTGGCCCCTGCTGACTCTCCAGCTTCATCTTGGGCCATGGCGGCCATGAGTCTTTCCTTTGCTCCCTGAACACACAACCTTGCCACCCTGACCTTTGACATTATTGGTCCCACTGCTCAGAATACACATACTGTTTCTCATCCAACCTATCAAGTTCAACTTAATGTCACTCTATAAAAGAAACTTTTCCAGCCATCCATTTCAGGGTTGTCATCCTACTAGCTGTGACAATTTCCTCTCTCTTTTCATAGTAATGGCTTGGTATGCTCATTTATGCTTGCTTGCTTAATTCCCCTTTTTTGATGGAACTGTAACCTTAGACCAGGGTATTCCTAGCACTGGCAGAAAGCCTAGCACTGAAGAGGCTCCCCTTCAATATCTGCTGAATGAACAGAGATCTTTTGATCAAACCGAAGTAAAATCAGAAAAGATTCTCAAATGTAATTGTCATTAAAAAGCCTAAATAATGACAATTGGCAGTCAATTGAAAAAAGACTACCATATATACGAAACCATATGACTTCGTTTTATATACATAACTACAGAAATTTATATATATACATACAACCACTTGGTTACTATATATTATATATAACCAACTATGTAATATATCATAAATGTAATAAAACAAAATATGCAAGTATTTGTGTTATATGTTTATTTATAGAATATAATTTATATTGATATAATATAAAACAAATATAAAATACCATTCAATAGATATGAAATACTTATTATATAAATGTCATATTTCATTATAGGTTATATAATGTATTTTTATATATTAAACATATATATTGTATTTATACATTATACATCAAATATATAACATACGTATGGCCTTATTATACTATAAAATAACCATCAGGTTTTATTCTGGTTAGGTAAGAAATCACTCTGCCATTTTGAAGAAAATGACGCTGCTGTATGATGTATGAGTCATTGAAGAATTTAATGAGAAAGAGTTTTGAAGAGAAGAAACTGAAAAAAAATCAGAATCATGAGATACAGTTTCTGCTGATCTTTGCTGGTGAGATATGTCTCCTGCAGGCAACAAATAGATGGGTTTTGTTTTTCAATCTAGTTTACTAATGTATGACCTTTGATTGCTGAGTTTAATCCATTTACATTCAGGGCGGATATGAAAGGGTGGTAATTTTTAAAAAAAGATTTATTTGTTTTTACTGGAAAGTCAGATATATAGAGAGAGGAGGAAAGACAGAGAGGAAGATCTTTCGTTCGATGATTCATTCCCCAAGCAACTGCAATGGAGGAGTTGCACAAATCTGAAAACAGGAGCCAGGAGCTCCTCCAGGTCTCTTGCAGGGTCCCAAGGCTTTGAGCCGTCCTCGACTGTTTCCCAGGCCACAAGCAGGGAGTTGGATGGGAAGTTGGGCTGCCGGGATATGAATTTGTGTGCATACGGGATCTTGGAACATGCAAGGTGAGGACTTTAGCCACCAGGCCGCCACGCTGGGCCCATAAGGGTGGTAATTTTGTCCTGTCATTTTAGCAATGGATTGTTCATTGGTTTAGTCTTCTGTTGTTATTTTACTGGGATATTCTTCGCATTTGCCTTTGTTTTTCATGGGTGGTATTACTCTTCTATGTAATGAGAACATCTTTAAGTATCATTTGTAGGGCAGTATGTTTGGAAGAGGCATATTCTTTTAATTTTTCCTTACTGTGGAAGAATTTTATTTCATTTTGAAAGACACAGGAAAACTTTGGTGGGTATGTTATTCTGGGCCGACAACTTTTACTTCTAAAATCTAGAATATGTTGCTCCATTCTCTTCTGGCCTGTAGAGTTTCTTGCCTGAGGTCTCCTATGAGTCTGATTTCTCTACATGTCAACTGGTTTTTTTCATGTGCATATTTAAAGATCTTTTCCTTATATTTGACTGAAGAGAGCTTGATTATCATGTGTCGTGCTGAGGATCACTTTTGGTCAAGCCTGTTGGGAGTTCTGTACCCCTCCTGGATGTTGTTTCCCAATTTTTTCTCCAGATTAGGGAAATTTTCCTTTATTATTTCATTAAATGTATTCTTAAATCCAGCTCTCTTTCTGCATCTTCTGGGACTCCCATAACTCTTATATTTGGCCTTTTAATAGTGTCTTTGAATTCTTGAATACTTGTTTTAGCTTGACACAGCTCTGCTTCCAGCTTTTGGTTTGTTTCCCCGTGGTGACAAGGAAATATCTTCTAATTCTGAGATTCTTTTTTTCTACTTCATTCATTCTATTTTGGAGACTCTGCACTGTACTTTTAATTTGCTCCACTATATTCTTCATTTCTGATTTATCAGTTTTCATCTGACTTATTTCCTGTATGACATATCCCTTAAATTTCTTGAATGCCTACATTAGGTGCTTCTCGTTGTTAATAAGAAGCTTTATAACAAGTGTTTTGAATTCTGTATCTCCCATTTTCTTGATGTCTTCCTCAGCTAACTATAAGGTTGGCAATAGCTTTTGCTCTTTTGCTGGGGGATACAGTAATATACATTGTGTATTTTCTCTTCTTTTGTCCTTGGTCATTGTACTTCTGGTTAGCAGAGTCTTCTTGGGGCAGGTTTCTAAGCTCTGTCACCCACGGGTCTACAGTTCGATTTTACTTACTGCAGTTGGTACGTGGCTCTTTGTTTGCAGTAACTTGTGCCACTCCCTCCAGCAAGTCCAGGTCTGGATTCTTATGTTAGATTTCGACCACAGTCGCTGTAGCCCCAGCTCTTGGCTCATTAGTCTCCACCTCCTGTGATACTGCAACATTGTCTGTACAACCTTTCTCCCACTTCTGGTTGGAGCAGGTCCCAGGATTAGGGAGACACCAGGTATCCTATATAGCTAGGTTGTTCTTGGTGCTGATCTTGGTGGAACCTGTTGGCATTTATGTATGAGGGACACACAGACCTATTTTGACCCTTATGATGCAATGCACTGAGCTCAGTGAGTTCATTCCCAGCTTAGCACGTGTGCAGCTCACTGTTGTCCCTGTAGTCTTAAAGCTTTTGCCAAACTGTACAAAATGGCACCTGATGTGCCACTACCAGAGTTCTTGATCTGCTGGCCATAGGTCTGAGGGCTACTAGGGCCTGTTTTGGGTGGAACCTGTAGGATGCCATGTTGTTGCAGTTCACAGAGCCAGAAATGAGTTCACTCCCAGCTCAGTGCATGCTCAGCACTGTCCCATAGCCTTTGCCTCCTTAAACAAAATGGTGCCCAATTCAGCTCTAGGGGATGGAGTGGGCTGTGAAATCAATCTTGTTCCCACACTGCGCATCTGGGACCTGGTACTCTATGTCTGCTCCTGGTCAAATCAAACAGACCAGCAGGATGGACAGTTCTTTGTCTGGGTTCACCTCCTGAGCTCCTGGTGAATGCCCCGAGTGGAGTTATGGCTGCTGGTGCAGTTCAGATGCCACTCGCTTAAAGCTGCACTAGAGAGTGAGACTTGATTTTGAAATCCCTGTCCATGCAAAGTTATGTTGTGGTACTTGAATTCTACTCCACCTGAAACACTAATCTCTACTGAAAGGTTCCTCTCCCATACAGGGCTGTGTAGATGAGTGCATCAACATATGCTACTGAGTCACAGCAGGAAAAGGAAACCAAAAGACCCATGACCATGTACTTCAGAAACTTCAGAAGGTAATGCCTCCCCATATGTACTCCACCTGATGGAACAGATGCCATAAAGCAGCTCCATTACAGTGTTTGTGTATGCTAGGAAACTTGCCCAAACAGTAACAAACATACCTCATCAAATATAACATATTGGATCCTTTTCACCCACTTTTGACGATGAGGAGATAGCAGCAGAATTTCAAAGCAGGCAGGCACCGTAATAAGAACCTGAAAATAAAAATGGTGCATGAACTAAGATGTTGAGCACTTTATATGTGCTGTCATTGTTCTAAGACTATGTAAATTAAACCTATGAGTCCCAAATGGACCTGTTGATGATTAGTATGTAATATTGCTATTAAGAATTGCTCCATTGAATTTTATATGTATGACTTTGAACCAAATGAAACCTCATTTTTTTGTAGGCCAAAAATGGTAAAATATCAAGTCTTAAGTCAAAATGATTATTTATGAATGTTAAAAGTTTAAAAGTAGGAATTGTTCAATGTCATATGTTTGGTTCTTTAAAACCTGATTCTGAGTATGGGTTGAAGATGCTTATTAACACATGAAAACTAGGGGGCTGATACAGTGGCCCAGCAGGCTAATCCTCCATCATGTGGCACTGGAATCCCATATGGGAACCGGTTCATGTCCCAGCTGCCTAACTTTCGATCCAGCTTTATGCTTATGGCCTGGGAAGGCAGTGGACAATGTCTCAAGTCCTTGGGTCCGGGCACCCATGTGGGAAACCTGGGAGAAGTTCCAGGCTCCTGGCTTTAGTTCAGCTCAGCTCTGGTTGTTGGGGCCATTTGGGGAGTAACCCATGGATGGAGGACCTTCTCTCTGTTTAATCTGCCTTTCCAATAAAATATATAAAACTTTTCTAAAAAATAAGAATTGAAAACTGAAAGGAAGTAGAGCAAGCAAAGTTAGAAAGAGGCAGAAGCTAAACTACAGAGCAGATCTGATAGAACTTGGCACATCTAGCTTAACACTCTGGAGTGAACACTGCCCTTTGAGTTTTTCCACACCAAGCCCCAAAGGCCAGCTCTTCACACATCTCAGTCACTGGATAAGGACTGTGATGGCAATGGCTTCACGGCATCTGTCTTAACTACACCCCCTGATGTAGGCAGTGAGTCCCTCCCTAAAGGCGACTTAGAAAGTACATCTCTAAGTTCTACAATCACATGTTCACTCTGTAGCCCTGAATGTTGATCTGTGAGTTCAACTTTCTACGATGTTGTTAACACCAGAATCTGATCTATAATACACCATTTTTGAATTTATGAGTATTTTTAGCTGATACTTAACAAGAGACAGTAGTTCTGCGGAGACATTGGTATTTATTAACTTTATAATTTCCAGGATTCTTCATTTTGAATTTATTTAAAAACAGACATATTATGAACTATATGTGAAATCTAGAATAAAAAGTGAACTATCCTTATTCAACAGTGAGTTTTATTATTCTTACAGCAAAATGGCTTTTTCTCTAAAGCTGTCATAAATTTGAGGAACTTATTTCTCAAGGCCCTATGAAGATGTTGAATTTCTAATCTAAGAGGCATGCAAATACTGCTACATCATTCAGGAACAAGTTGGTTAATTCATAAATCTTACCTGACAGTTCAAAGCATCATGTCGATAATCCCTCGTGAAAACACCACATAGAGTCTCACCTCCTGGTAAATGTTTGGTGTACCGACTCTGAACAGTTGCTGCTACTTGATTAACAAGGGCCTGGTTGACACAAAAGGGGTCCATTAGTCACCTAATAAAGTACAGACAGGTGAAATCTCAGGGGACGATATAACTGCCTAAACTACATTCTGCTGGAATGCAGGACGCTTCACTATTTTCTTTTTTTTTTTTTAAAGATTTATTTTTTTATTATGTTTTATTGGAAAGGTGGATATACAGAGAGGAGAGACAGAGAGGAAGATCTTCCGTCCGATGATTCACTCCCCAAGTGAGGGCAACAGCCGATGCTATGCCGATCTGAAGCCAGGAGCCTCTTCCAGGCCTCCCACATGGGTGCAGGGTCCCAAAGCTTTGGGCTGTCCTCGACTGCTTTCCCAGGCCACAGGCAGGGAGCTGGAAGGGAAGCGGGGCTGCTGGGATTAGAACCGGCGCCCATATGGGATCCCGGGCGTGCAAGGCGAGGACTTTAACCACCTGCGCCACCGCGCTGGGCCCGCTTCACTATTTTCTGCCCCTTTGCACCTCAAGTACACCAAAGTGCTCTCTCTGAGATACTCAACTAGGCAGGCAACCTGATTAATACATTTCAAGCTGAAATAAAGTGGGGAAAAAAGAAATGTTTCCATCAGAAGGAAAAACAGTGAGGCTGGTATTGTGGCTTAATTGGTAAAGCTGCCACCTGTAACTTTAACAGATTGATTTCTGGGAGCTCCACTTCCAATCCTGCTTCCTGTTCATGGCCTAGGAAAAGCAGTGGAAGATCGCCCAGGTTCTTGGGCCTCTTGATTCATGTGTGAGACCCACATGAACCTACTGGCTTCAGTTTAGCTCAGCCTGGCTACTGCAGTCATCTGGGGAGGAATTATTAGATGGGAGATTTCTCTGTATAACTATTGAAAAATGACAAAAAAACAAACAAAAACCAAGAAATATAGTTTACATACCCAAAAGATATTAGAATAGGAAAAAGAAAAAAAAAAGCTAAGGAGAGGCATTTAAGTCAACACTTGTAATGCCAACATTTCATATGGGTGTCAGTTCTAGTCTTGACTTCTCTACTTTCAATCTACTTCCCTGCTAATGCACCTGGGAAAGCAGTAGAAGATGGCCCAAGTGCTTGGATCCCTGTACCCACACTGGTAACATGGAAGAAGCTGCTGACTTTGGTCCAATCTTACCTTAGCTGCTGCAGCCATTTGAGAAGTGAACCAGCAGTTGGAAGATCTCTTTCTCCCTGTCTCTGCAACTTTGTTTTTGAAATAACATAAATCTTATTTTAAAGATTTTTAAAAAATTTTTATTTGAAAAGCAGATTTACAGAGAGAAGGAAAGACAGAGAAAGTGATTTTCTACTCACTGGTTCCCTTCCCAAATGGCTGTAATGGCCAGAGCTGAGCCAAATTAAAGCTAAGAGCTTCTTCCTAGTCTCCCACAGGGTATAGGGATTCAAAGACTTGAGACATCTTTCACTGCTTTCCCAGGCCATTAGCAGGAAGCTGGATCAGAGGTGGCAGGCTGCTCCCATTCTGATTCTACTCCCTGCTAATGAGCTAGGAAGGTAGTAGAGGATGCCCAAGTGCATGGGCCCTCCATCCACATGGGAGACCTGGGCGGAGTTCCTAGATCCTGGCTTTCTCTTGGCCAAGCCCTGTCCATTACATCCACTGAAGGAGTGAACTAGCATATGAAAGAGCTCTTTGTCTCTCTCTCTCTGCCTTTCAAATAAATGAAAATTATATCTGGGGGGGGAAAAAAGTGTGTTTGTGTGTGTGTTTGATAGAAACAGTGAGCTCCCATTTGCTGCTTCACTCTCTGAATGTGTGCAGTGGCCCACAGCTGGGACCAAAGCAAGGAGCCCAAACTCAGTCTAAATCAATTGAGTCATTGATGTTGCTTTCCAGAGTTCACATTAGCACAAAGTTGGGATGAGGAATGAAGCCAGGTCTAGAACCCAGGCAATCTGATATGAGCATGCTAACCAGTACCTAAATGGCCAGGCCAAATGCCTACCACAGGGAAGGATACAAAGTTTTAATTGTACAAGGTTTTAATTAATAAAGACAACCATTTTCAAACCAAAAAGTAGGCAAAAGCAACCTACAAGTAGTCAATGAACAAAGAAAGGACAGTGTTCAAACATCATTCATAAAAGTGCCCAAATTACTACCAATAACAGAAATACAAGTTTCAAGCAGAAGATTGCAACTTTCACCTATCGTATGCCGTGTGATAAAAAGGAGATTGTCCATGGGATATACTGTCAGCAGACTGGAATTCAGCTTTTAGAAGAGTAATTTGGTCACATGTATTGTGTTCAGAATTACAGCAGGAAAGCTCAAGAACACTGCCCTTCCCCCATGAAATGAGTATTCTATGCCTTGCGGGTGGCCTCTGGGAGAGGTCTTTGCCCAGAGGAAACACCTCAACGAGAATCAGCTAGGGAGGGCCAAGGCCAGCCCAGCAAAGCTGAGGCTTGTGGAACCCTAGGAAGAGCTGGGCAGTCTCAACTGTGAGCTAACTGTGCTTGACTACTCCTGTACTTCTTAATATTGTATGTTCTATCCAGACAGGAAAGATACTAACCAGCCAACTGGCCACATCCATAACTCCCTTGAGTTAATGTAAATGTCTTTCCCAACTGAACTTTTTGGTGCTTATCTTTTAAGTTAATGAACATTATAAATGAGCACTCTGTGGACTTTGGCCTCTGGTAGTGTGACAATTGGCATAGTTAGGGAGACAACTTACTGATTCCACTTCTAACATTCTAATTTTCTCTTGACTATAAAAGCACATCTTGCTTGTACAGTCATGAAAAACAAACCAGTAAAAGCTAAAAAAAAAAAAAAAAAAGCTAATTTCAACTGATTATATTGTTCTGTTTGGTCCTGAGGCTGACCACAGACCATTCAGCACAACATATTTTGTAGAAATAAAATGTAGCCTAGTTCATTTTTGTCTGTAAAATCAAAATCATCTAAAGTAAATAGGACTTTTTAGGAGTAACAGAAAAAAAGTAACCTCAGGAAATAGAACAGTTGTGAATGAAGATATGCAAATATATGTACTCTCCATACATCAAAGATTATCTGAACAACAGAAATCATTGTATTTAAGCAAACAGTACTAGACATGAAAGGAACACAGTAACATAATCTAGGACAGCAAATAGCCCCATCACCAGTGCCAGAGGGCAAATAATCCATTCCATGAACCTCTCAGAGGCAACCCAAGGTCCTGAGTGAAATTCATTGTGGGTGCTTACCTGTCAACCCATGCATAAAGTTTAACCACAAGATTCCAAAACCTGCTTTTTATTCTCTCTCAAAATGAATCTAAGGGAAGTGCTCTTTTTAGCATCTGCAACCACAATGAGAGACTTCAAGGCAAAAAAAAATAAAGTGAAACAGATCTACCACCAAGAGTGTGTGTTATTTTGAAAGGAGAGATTCAGAAATGAACAAGAATATTACTTCTGCTTGTGCACTACCTTTGTTGGCGCCACATACACCACGACCCCTTCATTGCTCTCCTTCAGCACTTTCTCCATGCAGTAGTAGGAAGCGTAGGTTTTGCCTGAGGACGTCGGGGCAACGATCACTGCTGACTCATGGTTATCCACAACATCCAGGAGCTCTCGCTGAGGGAATCAGAGCACCATTGTGTCAAAAATGTGAACAATGTAACCATGATGATGATACCAGAACAAACAGAGGAATACCCTTCCAATAGGATCCTCTGAACCAAAAGTGAAATGACTGGGAGTTTCCAATTCACCAAGATTTACAGGAGAATCCTCTCCCTCTTGTGTTGCTGCTCCCACTGGTGAGCATTAGAACCAAGACTGGAGGCATTCATCGCTAAACAGACAGTGGCACCTGCCAGCACCAGTGTGGACTGGATAGTGGGGCTGGTTGGGTTGAACTAGGCTTCAGTGTCCATTGACATGTATGAGAGCTGAATGAGATGTGGGACAGACTGGACCAGTCTACTGTTAATACTGACAAGCACAGAAACTAGGGCAGGGGTTAGGTGGGGTAAGGGGATTTGGCAGTTGCTCCAATGAGGCTGCAGTTCCCACTAGTTTAGGTGAAGGCTGAGTATGTGTGTGTGGAGCGGGGTGGGGGAGGGCAGAGAGGCAGAATTGGGCTGGGTTGCAATACCCATTGGTTTGAGTAGAAGACAGGGCTGGAGACAACTGACCCAGCAATTGAAACCACCAGTGTGTGTGTAGGCTGATTTGGGTGACAGACTGTTGAACCCTGTATTGGCAAGCATACACAAGAACCAGGTCTGGAATCACCTCAGATGGGGTTTCTTTGGGGATATCCCCAACTGAACCACTGGACTCAGAACGTTAACCATGGAGAGAATTGCAGGTTCCATGATCTGATTTTGGAGTGCATGTGTCATAGCTGGACCTCTTTGGTGGCTTAGATGGAGTAATGGACAGCATATCTACGTGCACATGGAGAATATGGCAGTGCACTGGGTCCTGCAGATGATACCTGGCACCACAACAGAGGAATGAGGGCAGGACAAATTGAGCAACTACTCCAGCCAGGCCTTGTCAGTGGATAAATATCTGGGCATGAAAGATATGGCAGTGCATTGGAGCCTCAGAGCATACCTGCAACATAACCGTGTTTTCCTTCCCCCCGGGTGCACCATCATGGGAGATAGTTGCCGCCCTGCTTCATAATAAATTCATTTTCCTTGAAAGGTTAAAGACTCTGTGTTCTGATTTGCTACATCTACTTTGGAAAGCACATGACAGGTTCATCTCTTTAAATTATGGTTTTATTTTATAATGACTAGTCAAACCAATGTAATCCTATATGAGGAGTGAAGATGGAAAAACATCTCAAAATGCCAGCCTGCACAAGGTTTTGTCTAGCCACATTCCAAGCCATCTCTGAGCAATGTGAGCATAGGAAGAGTCACAGTAGCTTTCTTCCTTCTTATAAAAGCATAACATGAATTTGTAAGGTATCCCATCATCATCAACATAATAAAGATAAAGGTTGTGAACCAGCACTGTGGCATCACAGGTTAAATGGCTGCCTGCTTTGCCAGCATCCCATGTGGGTGCTGGTTTGAGTCCTGGCTGGTTCCACTGCTGATTCTGTTCCCTGTTAATGGTCCTGGGAAAGCAGCAGAAGATATTCCATGTGTTTGGGCATGTGCACCCATGTGGCTCCTGACTTCAGTCCAGTGCTAGCAACTGTAGCCATCTGGAAAATGAATCAGCAGCTGGAAGATCAATCTCCCCCCACTCTCTCTTTAAAAATCAATTTTAAAGTATGCCCCATTTGCCCCGACTAGGCTGCAGCTCCTACTGGTTTGCGGGAGGGCTGAGTATGAAGTGGGCAGGATTGGGCTGGACTGCAACAACACTGGCTCGCATGGAAGACAGGGCTGGAAACAGAACTGACCCAGCAATTGCAATGACCAGAATGTGCATAAGCTGATTGGAGCGACAGATCGTGCCAGACCCTGTACTGGCAAACTCTTGTAAGAACCAGGTTTCACACAAGAACTAGGTTTGGGATCATCTCACTTGAAGTTTCTTTAGAGATCCCTCCAACTGAACTGCTAATCTCGGAACCCCAACCATGAAAAGACTATGTCAGCCAGGGGATTCTGAAGAGATTTCATTGTGCTTAGAACGGGAAGATTAGCAGCAATTCAGACCTGTTGAACTATCAAAACTGCTTAAACAGGAACCTTGGCACATGCCCCACATCAGGGACCCTGGGATGCGTGGGAGTCTGAGTGGGACTTCTCCCTTTGTTTCTCCCCTTACCCAAATACAGAAAAAAAAAAAGACAAAAAAAACAACAATGATATTAATGTGGGGAAGAAAAAAAAACATGTGTAAGATGGATTAAAACCTGGAGCAAGAAAGAAAACATTCATGGTATATACACTGGACAGGAATCAGAAAAAGATGTATTTGAGGATGCAATGATGTTTCTCAAATAAACCTCCTGTTTGAGATCTCTCGGGGCAAAAAAAAAAAAGTGTGCCCAATTTATCAATAATTTTATGTGGTTCAAAAATGTATATTCATCAGTAGTCCTTTTATATATATATTTATAGAAGGAAAGTGACTCTGGTGATAAAGGCACTGAATGTATTTCTCTGTGCAGATTTACTCATTAACTTAGGGAATGCCATTGGCATAAGGCCCTAGAAGCACAGATCTTCTAAATTGCATGTGTGAATTTCAGCTGAACTGCTGAAATTTCACTTTCTTTTAAAATAATACCCAACACAATATTTAAAAACATTTTGTATGAAATGACTCCATATTTGAAAAATCATGTCAAATATACAATATAAAGTTATAATCTTGAGAAATGCCTGAGGTCACATATTGTAAGATAATACAAGAATTTGTTTCATTCAAGTCATTACCTGCCATGTGTCAGGGATGAAATCCTGGACCCTGGGATCTGGATCTTTTCTCTCCTCTCGCATCAAATAGTGCCCCATGTGTTGCAGCTGAAACCGTACTGGGCCAATGCCAACTGAATATTTAGTTGTCTTCTTTGTGTCATCATTTATAGCCTGCATTATTTTAAAGTTTACTTTGAAAGGTATTTTAAAGCATAATATCTCTTATGTAACATAACAAAATTATTGCTAGTCATCTTTTATGTGAAAAGCCTTTTATCATCTTTAATATTTTGTGGAGATTTTACCCCTTAATTCATCATCTTTCCTAGGAATAAACCAGTAGACATCCAGATTCCCAAATATATCTCATGGAATTCAAAGACAGTTGAATAGTCACATGCTCTAATATAATCAAGTAAAGGTCAAGTTTTAAGAGTCTGCAGAGATTATCTGATATTTAATCTGCTTAGCCACCCAAACATTTGTACAAATTTTCAAAAGCAGACTGTTGGGCAAATAATAATAATAGTACTTAAAATTTAAAAACATAGAAGAGAGTTACACAGTAATTTTTGTCTACCTAATATTTCCTGTAATAAAATGAGCTATGCTGAAACTATTACCTGGGTTGGACATAGAGAACTTGCCAACTCATCAAACCCTAAATACTGAAGACATCTGGCTATGAATTGCCGATCTGCTTCTTGCAAAAGTTCTGGGTATTTTTCCATCAAGCAGTGGATTCTCTTCATCATTTGAACAGCTATCCTTAAATCTTTCATGTGTCTTCCTTGGTAAAGGATAAATAATAATTAAAATTAATACAGATTTATCATACGATCTTTTTATTTTAAAAATGTATTTATTTGAAACATGAGTGTCAGAAATCTTCTATGTTCTGGTTTACTTGCCCATTGCCTGCAACAGCTGAGGCTGGGCCAAGCAGAAGCAGGAGCCAAGAAATCCATGTAGGTCTCCCACATACTTGGACCAAATGGTAAAGATGGGACTCACATCAGCACTTCAATACTGTTCACAGGTCTCCCAAGTAGCACCTTCCCATTGCACCACAATACTCAAGGCATCTATCACTCTTCATTAGGCTCACTCTTTTTGTTGCCATTAGTGGAGATGTTGGAGTAAAGAGCAATAAATAAAATAGAAATTCAGTTATCCATATTAAATCACCTCCATGGCTTATACAGAGGTAAATGTGTCAGTATTAGGAAAAAGGAAAAAAAACATTTCATGATAGAAATGAAGTCTAAAGACCAATTTCTTTTTGTTTTAAAGATTTACTTGTTTTTATTGGAAAGTCAAATATGCAGAGAGGAGAGGGAGAGGGGAAGCTCTTCCATCTGATGATTCACTCCCTAAGTGACTACACTGTTGGAGCTACGCCAATCCGAAGCTAGAAGCAAGGAACTTCTTCCAGGTCTCCAACATGGGTGCAGGGTCCCAAGGCTTTGGGCCATCCTTGACTGCTTTCCCAGGCCACAAGCATGGAGCTGGGTGGGAAGCAGGGCTGTTGGGATTAGAACCGGTGCCCATATGAGATCCTGGCACGTTCAAGGTGAGGTCTGTAGCTGCTGGACCACTGTGCCGGGCCCTAAATACCAAGTTTTTAGGAGTTTATGGAAAGTAACAAATATTTTCTCCAGCTACCACTTATGTGTCTCCTCTACCATGTTAAAAAAATGTGTCCGTGACTGCAAATAGCTGGCTAAAGACTTAGCAACACTGAATCCTACCAAATTAAATATTTGGTAACATCACTGGAGCCCATCAATTTAGTCTATTTTGATGACCAGATCCTGACTGTATGGGATATCTGTCAATAGAACATGATACAATCAATTTTAGCTATCATTTTCTTTAAGTACTTGATTTTAATAAACTATATTTTAATTTTCCCATTGCTTAATTTTCAAAGCTTTTTTATGTTAGTTCTGTTTGACACAGTTCTGCCTCATTAAGAGAAGGGTTTTTTTTTTTCTATGTGCAATGATCCCTAGCCTTGATTCATGAGCAATTTGTATTGCTAGAAGAGTATATTTATACAGTGTCAGGGGTGCTTAACTCTCCCACAATAACTGATTTATAATTGTCACTTATGTCTATCTTAATCCTCCTCTCTGCTAATATTTTCATAAATACTAACCACATCAGGGCTGATGTAATTCCACTTGCCATCTAATCAGGCTATATTTTGTCCACTCATAAACAGTACTTACATCTACCAAATACTATAAGAGGAGCTGTAACTTTGAGATCTAATATAGAATTCTGCCTCCCAAGAACTTCAAGTTGACTTAGAAAGACAATGCATGATACTGGGTGGGCTCAAACTGAGCAATAGAGATCACAGTATTACATGAGCTAGATTACCTGAGGAATGCTTTATGAAAATATAAAGCTATGAAATGGATTCAAAGAACAGATAGAATTTAGGTAGATGAAAAGCGAAAAAGGATATCTGTGGCTAATATCACTACCTCATTACCTTCAAAGTAAGTAGGATTGAAATTCCTTATTCCTTATCATTATTATTGGAAGATTCAATGTATACAAATTAGAGTCTACATTTACCAGCTTCTCTTATTGTTTGACATGGCCTTGTGATGGTGATCTGATTAATGACATGAAAGATTCATAAAAGACGGATGTGGGGCCCGGCCTAATGGGTCAGTTGCTAAATCCTCATCTTGCAAGTGTTGGAATCCTATAAGAGTGCTGGTTGGTGTCCTGGCTGCTTCTCTTCCCATCCAGCTCCCTGCTCATGGCCTGGGAAAGCACAGAGGATGGTCCAAAGTCTTGAAAACCTGCAACCCCGTGGGAGATAAGGAAAGGGCTCCTGGCTCCCAGCTTTATATTGGTTCAGCTCCTGCCACTGCAGCCAACTGGGGAGTGAACCAGTGGAAGGAAGATTTTTCTGTCTCACCTTCTCTCTGTAAATCTGATCTGCTTTTCCAATAAAAAGAAATAAATCTTTAAAAAAAATGAGAAATGCAGAACTTAGATGGCTTTTCCTTTCTCTCTTTGCCCTAAGAGCTGCTAAAAATGCAGTCATCTGGGACTATGAGGTGGCTTGAAGTCCTATGCCAATGACAACGAAAGGCAAAGATGGAGGCGCATGGGTCATGTATGACATTTTAGACCTACAAAAGCAGTTTTGGGTAGTCAACATGGGAACTTTACCTAAATTAATGCAATGCATTTCTACATTCTATAAGTCCTTAATTCTGATCTCTTTTAATAACAATGAAATGAAAATCCAGATTCAACATTTCGGTTGAAGAGAGCAGCATAACCTAAGACTCAGATCTCTCATTGGGATATAGTATTTAGTGAGGGGCTGATTTTGCACATGCAAGATAGCAGAATGAAAGTGCTTGCTGGGAAAAGAAGGAACCTAGGGCCTCATCAAGGGACAGTCCCCCATCCCCAGGTGCTGATGTGGTTTGACAGCAAGGAGTGGCCCCCTCCTCCCTGCAAACACAGGAGAAAAAGAAAACAAACTAAAATATCTTCCTCATACATGGCCCTCCCCACCCTAATCTGAGGCACACGTAGCATGCATCCCATTCAGCTATGTAAACGGTATTAAAAAGAAAATAATAAAAAAAAAAAAAAGAAAGAAAACCAAATCATATACCTTCACCTCGGCAATGCTCTTTCCATGCAGTTAAGCAGGCGTTTAGCCCTACCATTTCCACTCGAAATTTCACTGAGTTACTTTTACATGATTTTAAAAAATCTTCCAGATTTTTTATTCCAGAGGTTAAGTTCTTTTTCAGTTCCTCTTCAATGGAAAATGAAAGAGCATTCCATTTTTGTTCCTCTTTTTGATCTTCCTTGGCAAATAACCTCTTCTTATTCTCTCTAATAATTATTTCAGCCTTAGTCTCCTGTCCAAAAGAAAAGAAACATGTATCAGCAGTTGGGCATATTCTGTGATTATATTTCCAGAGTGAGACGATATTTTAACTATTCACTAATGACTTAGTCTATTGTTCTGCAGTTGAATAGTCATGAAAAAGATCTTTTTCTTAAAGCTCTATTTAATGAAAACATATGACAATATGATTTAGTGTAATGGGTCTCTGTAGACAAGTATTCTAAAAATAAGTATTCAGAAGAGTTGAAACTCGAATTTGTTTTCTTTTTGGGATCTTTCTGTTTCAGTTATGATACCCTCACCAAGCTTAAGTAGGCAGCCATGTGACAGATGCCCCTGATGCTTACTGTTTTAGTTTTTTCCTTTTTGAAAGATAGAGACAGAAAGGAAGTAAGAAAGAATACTTTTTGCCTGGTGCTATAGCCTATTGGCTAAATCCTTGCCTTGCCCCTGCCAGGATCCCATATGGGTGCCGGTTGGTGTCCTGGCTACCCCACTTCCCATTAAGCCCCCTGCTTGTGGCCTGGGTATGCAGTGGAAGATGGCCCAGGCCTTGGGACCCTCCTCCCCATGAAGACCTGAAGAAGTTCCTGACTACTGGCTTTGGACTGGGGAGTGAATCAGTGGATGGAAAAATCTTTCTGTCTCTTCTTCTCTCTTTAAATATGCCTTTCCAATAAAATATTAATAATTAACTAATTACATAAAAATACAAATTAAAGAAACCATCAACTGTTTGATTCCTCCATGCCTGCTATGACTTGGGCCAGCCTCAGGAGCCTGGAACCCAAGAGGTCTCCCACATAACTGGCAGGAACAGGAGTCATCATTGTTTCCTTCTCTGTTTCCTCCCAGGTTCTGAGTGAAGTAGTGCTGAAATTGGGAGCCAGACCTTGAAATTCAACCCTGTGACTCCAGTGTGAGATGTGAGTGTCCTAAACACCCACCCCACGATTTGCTTTCTTCAGTTGGCTCTCTCAGATGCTAAACTGCTGATTTTATAAGAAACTTTTCAAGAAATAAACATGCCTTTTCTTAACCCCAATTGAGGTCCACAGAAATAGTCTAAAACCTAATGAGTTGTTCATTATTTTATCATAGCAAAATATTATTTGCTTTAAAACCATTAAAAAGATCAGCAAATCTACTAATTTTGGTACTTGGACATTAGCATCAAGAATTTTAGCTGATAGAATATTCTATGAAGGGGAAATGATCAGTAATACTATTCTAGAAACAGATTTAACTTTCCTCACTTAGGTACTCCATCCTCTATTATGGCCCTTGGGAAAATGGAAATGATATGCCAAGAAGGAAAAGATAAAGTTGTAGGAATCAAACCCACATAGAAAAAGGAAATGAAGAGATTATAAACTTGAAAAGGGGGTGAGTTAATTATTGAACCATTTTAAGGAAACAGTCGTCTTTAAAATTAGGTCTGAAAATAAGTATTACACAACCATATCTATTTTGAAGAAAAAGATTTTCATTGTCATTAATAGACAACTATCTTTAGAATGGTATTTCACCATTTCTAAAGTCAACTCTAGTTGCTTAATGCCTTGTTTTAAAATGTGCATGTACATTATTATGGATAAAGTAGCTTATATAACTTTATATGAAGATGATTTTCTTAGCAAGAAAAATACCAAAGAGTTAAACAGATAACAATTTAAGAAAAACAAATGCAACACTGTTTTGTATAATTTTTAGAACTTACATGAGTCTTTTTGTTCTTAGAGTCACCAAAATCCCTCTTTCCTTTAACATTTTGAGGTACGATGAGTTTTGAAGAGACTGATTCTAATGAATTCCCGTAAAATCGTTGAAAGACATGATATTTTTGTACAGATCGTAGTACACGGGGGTCTCTAGAGTTTTCTGAAAAGAAAAAAAAAGCTGATGACATAACATTAAATTTTTCCAGAGGCATTTTCAATAGTTCTTCAGAGCATCCCACCCACATATGCAGTCTTCTGGTGTGGTAATCTAATTTGACTACTTGGCCAGGAGCACATCTTAAGTCACAGTCTTTTGTGGTGTAAAATAACTCATTATCCTAAAAAAAGAAAGTGACAAAATATTGTTTCACAGTCTACCTCCAACAACATGTAGCAGAGTGCTACAAATAGTGCAGATTCTGGCATTACCTCTGCTATGTGCATGGTGAATGAGGTTTCAGGAAATGGAGAGGCAGAATCAAGAAGTCAGTTGTCAGATACTGACTTGTGGGCCTGGCACGTTAGCCTAGTCGCTAATATTGTTGCGTTGCATATGCCATGCTCTCATATGGGTGCAGTTTGTGTCTCCACTGTTTTACCTCCTTTCTAGTTCCCTGCTTGTGGTCTGGGAAAGCAGTTGTGCACAGCCCAAGACCTTGGGACCCTGCACATGCATGGGAGAATTGGATTGGCTTAGCTCCAGCCGCTGTGGCCATTTGAGGAGTGAATATGCAGATAGAAAATCTTTCTCTCTCTCTTCTCTCTGTAAATCTTTACAATAAAAATAATTGGGTAGAAAAACCTAGTATACTGGATTGCAGTTACTGAACCAAGAGCTTTGAAGCTGACCGAAGTGCTCACTGTAGTAAATCCCAGCAAGAGGAGGCTCCAGCAATCAAGGCATGACTTCCTCCCACACTCCTCAAAATCTCTAATACTCAAAACTAAATTGAGTAACTAAGCAACTTTTCTGTGTCTATATCATCAAACCAAACCACTTTGAAGGATATTAATGGTTAATCTAAAGTATTCCCTTGCAAAGTATTCTCTTGCAGACTCTTGGTAGCTATTTATATGAGCAGGTTGGTAAGTATTTTAGAAAAACACTCTTACTGTGCATGTTTCTAGATTCTTCTTAGAGTTAAGTTTTGCTGACTCTGTGAAAGGTGGTATATGCATTAGGGGTAGAAAACAGTGAGATGAAGCCAAGGAACGAAGTAGAGACAAGATCCCCACTTCACTCTGCTTTGATCTACTTTGATCCATGGATCTCCTGTAGTCTCAACAGCCCTGAGGGTGGATGCGTAATATACCCTGCTGATATTTTAGATGGAGTCAACTGAGGAAGAGGGATGAAGATAGTTCAATATATTTGATATTAAGTAAAGCAGATGACTGAAATCACAAGCCATTTTTCCTTAAAATAGTTTCTAGCTTTTGTGGAGAGAAATTCTGTATTTTGTGCACTTCCTCCCAAGACATCCATACTTGCTGACATACACCTAAATACCTTATCAATTTCTCTGAATGGAAGATTCCATTGAATGTCATCATCAATTTTTCACCATAAAAAAAAAAAGGCAGAAAGTGGGCCTACTTTCAATCTGCTTCCCTGGAGTCACAGAGCTCACCTTCAAAATTGCTCTTTGTCTGGTCGTATTCATCACTAAGGGGCTTGTGAGAATGCCAATGCACAAGTTCATCAAATTCCTTCTGTTTAACCAGGGAAGTGACAATAGGATCATCACTGTGAGACAAAAAGAGACAGACACAAGTTTGAAATGGCATGCCTCCCAACATAGCACAGCACAGATTGCATTTTCTAATGATATTTCTGAAAGTCACAGCTCCCTTTTCTTTAATGTGAGGTGGCTGGTGGCATCCAAAGAGCAGTTTACCAGGGGCTTAGGAAGTTAGAAACTGCTTCATGTCACTTACAAAGTCCCACTAGCATCAACAAATATCCATTCATTCAACACTTCACACTAAATCATATTTTTAAGTGATTTTAATTTTAAAGTAGTTTATATAAATATGTATCAAGCAATGGTCACAGGGCAAATTTTGATACTGAATTGATTATCTGTTAGAAGTGCACATTGCATGCACAGTCTCTATTTGATCTGCTACCCTTCTGGTCCACACCAGCACTGAGGCACACTTGGGGCACTGTACCTCTTTAGGAAGGGCAAATCTTTCAGAATATCTCCAGCAAACTTATCAATTATGTCAGATGACATTGGAATGAAACCCAAATTAGTCATCTTTTTCTCAGATCCATCTGTAAAAAAAAGGTGAAATGTGAAACCTTCATATGGGCACTGTATTTTATACAATTTCACATGAAAAATATTTTACATTGATTTTATTTACATTTATCAATTTCAGCTCTTTCCTAAAGCTTTTTTCTCACATTAAAACATGTTGGAACAAAACATAACACAAAGATACAACATTTATGCATGTGTGTGGGTCATTGGTATTATGGATGGAGAAATGGATGGACAGACAAGCAGATGTATGCCAAGTATGTATGCTTGTATTTATTGCTTTCAGTATTCTTTCTTACAAAACAAAGAATCTGGAAATAAAGTCACAGAAATTGTCAAAAGTTTGTTTTTCATATATCCATATAGAGTGTAAACAAAAATTGTAAGTGTGGAACTGCAAATAATAATGAAATTATTTTATGTCACTACAATATTTTCTTGAGTCCTCTTTGATTTTAAACAGGCACCCAAAGATGATACAAATGTCATATACCAAATATCTATGATAAGAGGTTAATGAATCACTTCTAATTTAATGTCTGGTCCATAGTTCTAAATAGGCTGCAGCAGCTCCACCTGCTACCCTCTTGATACTGTTGTATGTTTGCTCTGACCCCTTGCCTAAGCATTTTTCTTCCAACAGCTCATGTGGAACAGGACAGCCATGCCAAGGTCAAAAAAGTCATGGAGAATAGACAGTGAAGTTCTCTGGTTCTTCAGGAATCACCGCTCCAACATAGCTTACGCGTAAGTTCAAGATTCCCACTGATCCTACCCAGCAGTCCACAGTGGACTGCTGCACAAAGGAGCTTGCAACTATGTTCTTCTTTTCCTCATCTTACCTAACCATCTGTCACTGCATCTTTCTGGGATCAATAGACCACATGTAAGAGTCTCCATTGGAGCTCATTTAAGTGAATTGTTTGGCTTGGCATTGCCTTGATCCTGCTAACTATCTAAATTTAAATCCCAAGTTCTTAAAGAAGTCCTATGTTCGAGGGTCAGTGAGATTAGTTTGTGGCCATCTTTGCTGAAAAACAAGGATGTGGAGATAAGAACACTTGGGTATGCTCCTAGGGATGCTAGCTTCCTGCAGAGGTCCCTGTTCTGACACCTTCTCTCTCTCTTCTCTCTCTCTCTCTCTCTCTTCTCTCTCTTTTTCTCTCTCTCTCTCAGGCCTTCCTTCTGGCTCTGTCCAGGGCAGCTCAGGGCATGCCTCTGGAGGACTGAGAACAGCCAATACTGCCCAGGGCTTTGGGCTTCCTCACTTTTGGCTCCTGGTGTTATTTTGAACTTAGCTATAATAAGATGAAAGAGAAAAAACTGGTATCTCACACACAGCATGTCAAGGGTTTTGCACAGATTTTTAGGAGGCTCTACACTGCCATTGAAATGGAAGTCATATACCACATGACTGCCAAAACTTCAAAAAAAAGTAAAGATGTTTGACAGAAAAAGATTGAAAATCATGTCATTTTTATAATATGCATTTCCATTAACTTTCTGAAGACCCTTTGCAGATCTGTCCATTTTAAATTTCCAACATTACTTATATGTAAAACAGAAATGTTCAGATTCAGAGCATATCACTCACAGGATATGATGATAAAAGTAATGAATATGCATTATTAAAATGTATGACACCAGAGACTTATTTATGCATGCAACTCAAACTGTGTTTTCAAAACATTTGCAGAAGACCCACATGCTTATTTCCAAGTGGTTTAGGAATTTCTTGCCTTTGATTGGTGTTGGGCTCTTGGTAAGAAAGCAAACTTCCGTTGTTCTCAGAGGAAAAGGCTTTCCAATCTCAAACTCTCTGACCAGTGCTGACACTGTGTTCCAGAGATGTTCATAATCCTTCATAATGACTTGTCCCACTTCCAAAGGCAGGCCTACAGAACAGAGCAGAGCACTGAACATGAGAAGGCGTCCATAATCAGAACATGCGTTTCCACTTGCAGAATTTATGGAGCTCTGAAGTTAACCGATTCCATATTGGACTGACAGAAAAATGACCACCAGTGTTGACCACCAGAAAGTAGGTTTTAAATTTTGTCTTGTTTCCTAATTTGATCATTAAATGTTAAAATATGATTTCCTTAACAGAAATAGATGATGGGTATTTAGTTTTATTAGGATAATGAACGGTGTTGAGGCAGACATTTAGACTAGCTGCTGAGAAGTCGATTAGGACACTCACACGCTACACTGAAGTCCCTGAGTTCAAGTCACCCATCTGGCTCCCGATTCCAGCTTCCTGCTGCTGCTGACTTTGAGGGACAGCAAGTTATGGCTCTAGTAGTGGGTCCCTGCCACCCACATGGGAGACACAGGTCAAAATCCCTGCCCCCAGCTTTGGATAACCCATCATTGATATCGCTGTCATTATCTGCCTCTCAGATCAATAAGTAATAAATTATTTTTAAAATTATGGCATATAAACTTTACAGTGAGTAAACACTACATTTTTTGAGAAATCAAGAAAATGCGACAGGGCTGGTTATTTACATGAAGCCAATTTATTCCTTTGCTTACTATAGGACGGAAAACCAAATCCTAGCAAAGAAGCCTCAAGAATGATCACCCGGTCATAATTCTCTCAAAACATTTCATTTTGCTCTGAATTCTCAGAAATACCAAAGAACTTCTACTAAGAAAATAATCCAAGAAAATAAAATTAGATAACATATAAGTTGGCTTTATTTTTGAAAAAGGATTCCATAAATATATAATAGTATACAGTGATTATACTACAAAGAATACATTTTATAGATGAATTATTATGCTTGTATTCAACCAGAAAAAGATTAACATTTAAAGGAAATGCCAAATACCTGAACACAGTTTTTCCAAAACTACTTTAGAGTAATACTTAGTGATAAATAGCTAAAAATTACACACATAAATAAAGATTGGAAAGAAGGAAAAATTGTATATTAGAATAAGACATTACTTTAAAGTTTTAACTTATTTTAATGTTTAGATGAACTGTCACTATAATAATACTAAAGTAGTACCTTGTACACTTTCATTTTCATAATAAAAAACAATATTCTTCCACAAAGCCTCATCATTTAAGTCAGAAAGGTGAAGTAAATTCAGATTCCAAGATTCAAAAATACTTATATTACTTAGGATGAAATATTCACACAAACTTTTCTGAAAATGAAAAATGAAATAGTTACTATTTTCACATTAAAAATAGTTGACACAGAGATTTCACATGCTGCTTTAATTTACCCAAATGGCAGGTGGACAGGGCTATTACAGTTCTAACGATATATGATTTGTACCTGAAAATATATATAAAGTACAAATAAAAACAATACTCAGCAAATGGTGGGTTCAATATAATTCTGTGTCCTGAATCAGAAAAATCTATTTTATCCCACATGCAATTTCTTTTTGTCTCACACTGTGATCCATAGCTGAAGTCCTGAGCCTACAGAAATATTTCTCAAGTATGCTTCTGTTTTACCTAGGCTTTAATATTCTCCCAATCTTCCAGGTTAAAAAAAAATCTTAAAGAGCCTTTGGTTCTTCAGAAGTCTAAAGGATGCTGAAACCTCCAAACACAGATTTCCATCCCCCTTCAGCAAGGTGCCCCTGCAGCTCTTTGACAGCGAGGCTGCATTCCCACCTCGCAAGTGAAATCCTCACTAACAACAGTGGATGCTAGGGAGCAGTGCCAACAAGCAGAGCCTAGTTCAGCTTTCAGTCCGTGACAGTGTCTGGGGAGTTCAGTTCAGAGCAGGAAATGGAGCCTTCTTTGCCCACACTCCCTTTACAGCAAAACACAAGTGCTTTCCACATATGAACAACGTACTGATCTCTATTGCTGAACAAATTCAATCCAGCACTACCCAACAAAAATAGAATATGTGAGGACTAAATTTTCTAGAAGTCATGTTTTCGAAAAAAAAAATTAAGCAGAAATTTGTAGCAATTTAGTTTAAAATACCTAAAATGCTATCATTTTAACATACAAGTAATTTCAAAATTTTCATATGGTTTGTGAAATCTAATCTTGTTTCCATGCTTCCAAGAAAGAGAAGGCAGGAGAAAAAGACGGACATATGGACAGAGAGATCTCACATCTGCTGTTTCCTTCTCCGAATGTCCACAGCTGTTTCCTTCTCCGAATGTCCACAATAGCTGAGGCTGGGGTGCATTTCTAAGACGGATCCAGCTGTTGCTGATGTGACTATGCAAACCACACTCCATACTGTCTTACAGTGATCTGTGAAAGTGGGACAGCTGTGGAGACCCTTTTCCTTCACCGGGAACAAAAAGTCCCTCAGGTACGAGGTGTGTAGTCTCCAAGGTGTCAGGATTTGGAGTAAATCACACGAAACCATCCCTTCTGTGATTGCTAGTTGCTTTCTCCAGAGCTTTCAAAACATGTTCATGACTGAATATTTCAGTTGCAACCTGAAACCCCAATTCAAGCTATAGTGTTCTGCCAAGGTCGACTGTGGGAAAAGCAAGAAGGGTGGCTGACTACAGACAGTCATACACAGAGCGCTTATTCAGAAGCTGGACAAAGCAGAGGTCAGCTTCCCACTGGCTCCTTTACCAGCTCTGCTGATGGCCTGCTTCAGGAGCTCAGGTTGCTCCTTCCTAACACAGGATGTAAAGAACTTGTGATATCTACGTGGGGCAATGGAAGTCAAATGAACACCTAAAGCAAGTGCAGAATAAATCGTGGCCATTACCATTCCCAAGAATCAGAGTTGTCCTAATTAAATACAAGGTTTTCTCTCAGCTAAAAACTTACGCTATGTCCATCAAGGGCAATTCACCATATTTCATAATTTATTAAGCATATATTGATAAAGTACTTTGAGCTAAGAGTTTGTAACACATTTTAAAAACTCTAGAAAATTCTCCATAAATGGCAACTGTACATAGGTAATATACATTAAATGTGTATAGTAATACAACTATCACATGCATATCATCCCATAGTTTGCATGTAATTCAACCTATATAAAATTTACCAAAGCACGTTAAGTATTTCTGAGAAACAAGCTTACAAAGCCACTGCACACTAATACAGATGCTATAATGCATCATTTCAAAATCTCACATATAATATCAAGAGGCTTACCATATAAATATGAAATGACTAAAGGAAATGAAATAGAAGCTATAAATGGAATCTTGCTATTCTTTTTTTTCTGTCCCCTTTTAAATAGTCATTCTCTGCTGTCTTGTAATAGACTATCAAAATTTCTAGAGAAAAGTTCCCCAATGGAATTTGGAATATAAGACTACATGTTCTCACCCAAGCACTAGCAGGATTCACACTGGTGCTATTTTCATACATCTAATACTTACTATATCACAAATACAAAATCAGATGGGCAACAAATGTGTTTTTCTGCAAGGGAACTCTAGTTGCTCATCCTACATTGCCCTTCTGCCAGGGGAGTAAAAATAGTCTCACCCCAACAAGTCATGTTAGTCTAGTTCAATTACTTTTAGATCAGTTCCTTTCAAAAATCTCTTTCCCACTTCCCATCCTGGATTTCAACAGAGGAATTCATGCAAAAGCCATCCTAATTTCCCTAAGAATCAGGTGACTCCAGCTACATCCCTACAAGGGCCACACATCCAGCTCCCCTGAGAGCAGAATAAGTGGTCGAGAGTCAGGAAATGGTTTCCAGTGGGTTCTCTGCAGTTGGGTGTCCACTGCAACACAACCTAAGAGTTAGAGGAAACTGCCTGTGCTATTTCCTCCTGATCCTCTCAGCTGTCCTCTCTCTACTGGTCTTTATGTAGCAAACAAATTAAATCAACAGCATATTTACCATTTGTAAAAAAGTATGAATTTCCTGAATCCAATGTGAAGTGATGAATCGAGCACTAGCTCTTTGCGAAAGAGGTAAATGGAGGAGAAACACCACACTGAGACAATGCAGTCTGCACAGATCTTCCACTTCCTGCATGCTTAAGCAATTACTTTCCACCTGAATAAAACAAAGGAAACAAGACCCAATTGGCAGCTGTGAAACCCATGTAATGAACACAGCACAAATAAAGCTGTTTATCACACTTTTCTGGGTGGGAATCACACATTGTTACATTATTCATTCTACTCTCTCTGGGTCATGCTCTTTCTCCAGTTGTGAGGTAGGCAGCTAGTTCAGGGTCATGAGCTTAGAAGACACTCCCTGCCCCCACCACCTAGGTGTTCCCTCCTGCCCACCTGTGATGCTCATCTATCATCACCTGGAACCTGAGAAGGGGCTGTATTGCACTGTTGTGTAACTGCTGCCCTCACAAGCCCCTGTAAATGCGCATGATAGGGAGGGGCTCTCTCTTGGTCCTGTGCTTCTTTCACTCTGGCAGTAGGACTCTTGACTTCCCCAGTACCTGCTTGCCCTCCTGCTTCCTGCTAACAGCTCCAAGGACAGATATCCCCCTTCCCTAGCATAGTCCCTGTATGTCTGCCTTCCTCACTCTGTTCACTGCTTGGGTGGGACAGTGAAGACGTTAATGCTAAGATGCTTTGTATTTCTAATTTGTATACTATTGACAGTTACAGGAGAAGTGAGGCAGGCAGTAATGGAATGTGGGCAGAAAAGCCAGGGAAAGGTGAATGTCTACAGCTTTGTAACTGTGCCCAGGTTGTTCACTATATGTATCTTAGGATAACTTATATTGCTGGGGAAGCTGGGACATGGGTCTTCAGTTTAACGGATAGACTTCAGGGTAATGACCATTTGTTCCTCTTGGGATTTCGATTGACTGGATTGCCATGTAGACTTGTGATTTGCCCTGCTATCACCAAGCTTGGTTAATAAAGACTCCTTAATAAGCCCTAGACTTGTCTGGTGTGATCTCTCTCGCACCCCGCAACATACTCTCTGTCTCTCTTCATATGTATGTATATATATATATATATATATGAAGATTTCATATATATATATATGAAGATTTATGTAGTTATTTAAATACAAACAAATGGAGAGAGACAGCACTTGGGCCATCTTCCTCTGCCTTCCCAGGCACATGAGCAGCAAGCCGGAGTGCAAACAAAGCAACCAGGACTCCAACCTGTACTACAATATAGGATGCCAGCATCTCAAGTTATGGCTTAACTCACTGCACCACCATGAGAAACAGGAGAAGAAAGAAAACTGGCTTCGTAACAGCTAATGTAAACATGGTTCACGATCTTCAGCTGCAGTTGGGATTCCTTCCCATAGGACTCGGCAGTGACTGAGTCTCAGTTAGAGACTCTACTGATGGCAGCCATCAAAGCCATTCAAAAGGAACATCAGTTGACTTCATGGAAAGACCATGGCTGCAGGATTTGCAGCTCTGATCGCTCCAGTGTGCATCATGTGACCGAGAAATTAGGAGGAGCACAAAGAAGAGCACATCTCCCCACTTGAGACGATTTAGACTAAATATCTGTGTGGTGAAACACTAAATCACAGGGCAGAGATTGTGATTCAATCAGACTGACACTTGGGATGCCCGCATCTCTGTGGGAGCGCGGGACTGGTTCCAGCTCAGCTACTTCATTTCCAATCCAGCTCCTTGCGAATGTGCAACCCGGGATGCAACAGATGTCAGTCGCAGCCAATCGGGAGTGAGCTAGTGGACTGAAGATCTCTCACTTTCTCTGTCTCTCCCTGTCCCTCTCTCTGTAATTCTGCCTTTCAAAGAAATTAATTTTTTTACAAAAGGAAGTGCAGAGCATGGAGTTCCTGAGTAAAATAGCAATCATACCTCATCAGTGTCGGTTTTCTGATCAGCTGTGGTCTTTGTGCTTCCTAGAAAACGATGGTACATTCGCAAGGACAGTGCACATGAAGCAACACAATGGACACGCCGAATATCAGCTCCCTCTGGCCAGACTTGCTCAAGGTGAGAAACAGTGTCACAGGCCTGTCACAGAAGGAAATTGTAACATGTCATTGTATTTACAAAACTTTTTACTCATTTTATTCTTAAGTTGGTCTTATTAGAAGAAATGATGCAGAAAAGATGGATAATGACAACATAGAACTATGATTCTTTTAAAATATGAAAAACTTTAATGGGAAAATCATTGCAACACATAGGTTAATAAACATCACTGAGAAATGTTGTGTGACATAATGGATTACACCACCACTTGTTGCTGGCATATCATATCAGAGTGTGGGTTGTAGTCCTGGTTCCCCCACTTTCAATCCAGTTCTCTGCTAGTGTGCAGAGATGGCCCACATGCTTGATTCCCTATAACCCATGTGTGAGACCATGAAGGAGTTAGTGCCTCCTGCCTTTGACCTAGCCCAGCCCTAGATATTGCAGCCATTTAGGGGATGAACTAGTGAATGGGAATAATCTCAATCTCTCTCTGTTGCACTCATTCTGAATTTCAAGTAAATATACAAATTCTTTTTTAAAGTACTAATTCAGAGACTGGCATTGTGTTGTAGCTGGTTAAGCCACCAGAGAAGCTGGCATCACATTTGGGTGTCAGTTCATGTCCTGCCTGCTCCGTTTTCAATTTGGTTTTCTGCTGATGCTGCTTGGAGGGTGACCGTGGAGGGCAACAGGAGAGCTTGAGTTCCTGAGCTCTCTGAGGCTGCTGGTTCTTGGCTTCCCCTGATACACCTAAGCCATAGACTCTCTGGGAATTGCATCAGCAGATGGAAGATCTCTGTCTCCCTCTCTCACTCTGTAACTCAGCCTTTCATAAAGATAAATAAGACTTTATTTAAAAAGTGAACAAAACAAAATGCAAATACACAAAGAGTTCCAATAACTATATGAAGAAACCTAATTATTAGTAAGACCATAACTGTATGGAAATGGAAATATTACCAAATCATAAACATGCACAGTGTCTTTTGCAAAAACTAGAACAAAAACTTAAATGGTATATTTTTACCTTCATGTTAGCAAAGTACTTTGTAATGTTAGCACTAGAAATCATGTGAAGTATCATCTCTGTTATACTTTGTTAATAAATATAATTACACAAACAAGGCAAAGCCATTTAACAATAAATATAATTATTTATAACCATGTTGATATTTTTGGTTTTTATGGATCTAGCTTAAATAGATAATACCAAATACCAAACAAGCACCAATGTTTATGTACCAAGATTTTCACTAGTTATTTGCAACATCCAATTTTTAAACAGATTAAATTAAGAAAATGTTATGTGCCCAGTAAATGCAAAATTTTTGAAGTTTTAGTGAAATCAGAAAGTGTTTATAGAATAATCTTACATAGTGAATAAAAAGGTTATATGTGACATGTTCTCAACTATTAGAAACATAGAATGTCACTGAAATGATATATTTTAAAAGTGAGAGTTTACTTTCCGTAAAAGATCTACTTCTTTTATTTGGAAGGCAGTGACAGAAAGCAGGAGAGAAAAAGAAATCTTCCATCTGCTGTTTCACTCCCCAGATGGCCTCAGTGACTGTGCATGGTCAGGGGCATGGTCAGATCAGAGCCAGAGCCAGGGACTAGGAGCTCGATCCAGATCTCCAATGTGGCTGACAGAGGCCCAAGCCCTTGGCCCCATCTCCCACATGGTTCCCAGGTGAATTAGCATGCAGCTATGCATGGGGAATCAGAGGTGGAGCAGCCAGGACTCAAACTGGCACTCTGTGTCACCAGTTTCACAAGGAGTGGTTTAACCTCTTGATGAGTATGAAGGGTATTTAGAAAAAAAAAAAAAGACCAGGACAGAGAAAAATCTAGATATTACACATGCATTAATGAAATTCACCTACTGCATATTTCAGAAAGAAGCACTGGGCTATTCACAAACCATTTTTTATATTTCAACTTCTATCATATAGATACAGTTTTGTGATATAGTTGAGGACAACAAAATCTGTAGTAATCAACTTCCTGAAACTATTGAATATTTTACGACTACGTACATCCTACAGTCACCTTCATAGCACTGCTTAAGAAGAGCAAAGGCATTGCGAAATCTCTTTGTGAACAGAACTGACACATTCCAAATCTCAGTTCTTCAACTCGTCTATTACCACATTCCAACTCAAGACCTTGTAGTGACCAGAAAATGACTCAGAACATATCACAAAGCACAGAAGCAGATTAACGAAAGGTGAGCTAGAACAAGTGGTTGGGAGACTAAATCTACCCTAAAACTGAAAATATGTTAAAAAACAAAACCACAAAGGTGGAAGAGTTCACACCATAGTAAATGAATTTCAAAGCATGTACAATCTGAAGTGTCAGATGGCTTGTAGGGAGGCCATACAGTTACACAGACAGGGACTTGATCTGAAGGGACAGACTCCATTCCTAGGGACAAATTAACTTCAAAGGACAGAAATTGTGGCCACAGAAAGAAAGAAAAGGCATCCCAAACACGGAAAGGAAAAAGTGAAATTGTCTCAATTTGCTGGCGACATGATTTCTACATACAGGGAACTAACAACTCTGTTAAAAACTGTTATAACTTGTAAGTGAATTTAATAAAGTTGCAGGATGTGAACAACAATCAATAGTATTCTATATATTAATAGCAAACTGTCTGAAAAGGAAATTAAGAGTATGAAAGCAGTCCATTTAGAATAGCAGCATAAGAAGCACATATAGCCACAACTAAATAGATATGGTTTCCTGGATACAAACCTAGAACACAAAGGGACATTCGTGGGGAAGGAAGTGAAGTTCAATTAAGGTCTGATGTTTGGTCAGTAGTATTGTGACAATTTTTATTTCCTGACTTTATTAAATATATCATGGTTACATTAAAGATTAACATTGGGAAAAGATAACATGGAAACACATGCCATGAGAAAAACTGTATGTAGATTTCAAAATAATTTTGTACCAGAGTAGATTTATCTTTTACTTCTCCCTTTCACAAACAGTTCTCTATTTTTGAAAATTTTCCATAGTTAAAAAGTTAGTTGAAATAGAGTCTTGTTTTTAAAGTTTCATACCTCTTCCATCAGATTTTCCCATCTTAAATCTTTAAAAAGTGGTGCTAATAGTAAATCTCTCCTTTTTTCCAGTTGTTCAAGCAGGGCTTGATAAACACTCTTAATTGTCTCCACATTCTGTGAAATAAAGGAAAGTCAGATTGAATTGTCATAAATAAACTGTTCAAATATTTTCCTAATATAGAAAGTAAGACATCTAAGATACAATCTTTACCAAAAGTTTGTCTAGAAAATGAAAATGCACTAACTTGATGGCAGATGATCATTGATGTTTTTAAGTCCTCCCAAATAGAGATATTTGGTCTTTACCAAATGATTTTCCCTTTAATTTTTTGTTTTGAGATTAGATTTAATATGAAATTCATTCTTTTAAAAATATTTATTTACTTGTAAATATTTATTTACAAGAGAGTGACAGAGAGATGAAGAGACAGAAAGATCTATTTATTGGTTTAATCCCTAAACTCAACATCTGGGACCAATGTAGGCCTTATTTAGGACTGCAGATGGGTAGGCAGGCACTGCAACACATGGTCCATCTGTTTCCTTCCCAGTGCATCAGCAGGGAGTTTGATTGGAAGATGAGCAGTTTGGGCTCAAACTGATGCATCTATGTGGGATGTTGATGTCCTAATAAGTGGCTTAACTCACTGTGCCACAATGCTAGCCCTCAAATTCATTCATTTCAAGCATACAATTTAATGACCTTTAGTAAATTTACCAAGATCTGCCACTTCTATGGTATTCTAATTTTAGCACATTTCCTGCACCTCAAAATATCACCATGCCTATTTCATGCAATGTAGCTTATTGCAACAAACCTCCAACAATGTGTTCATAGTAAAGAAACTATTTCCCCAAAAAGGACTATCACCCAGCAAGCTATCAGCAATATTTTTAACAGTATTTGCAAAGTCTTCATTGCTGAATGCAATATATTCAGTTGCATTTCCATTGTATTCCAGGAATCTTCAAAATGATTAAGGTGAATGTTCAACAAATTAGGAGGCAAACTGTATTATTAAAGGCCATGGCATTAACCATTTCACTGGGATGTCTCAGCAACAGACATGATTTTTGCCTCTAACTTATGCTGTCTGATCTTTATCTTGGAGCCAACACACAATGTATTGGGTAAGGAAATGGGGGCTGGAGTCAGACCACCTCTTTCAAATTCATGTTCTATTCCTAATTTGGCATTGACGATGAGTCAATTACATAGTCTGGTGTCTATTTTCATAGTGGTAAACCATAAGCAATGCTAACACATGTCATATGGAGTTACTGTGACAGTTAAGTACCTTGCATTACTGTTACAACAATAAGGGCTCAGTAAATTATTCTCTTGTATTGTTGTTATTATTTTCTATATATCTCTCTTCAATCTATGATAATTTCCATAGAGAAGATAGAAAACTGAGTCACATAAGTTAGAAAATTTTGTAGAATTAAAAAAAAAGTATTTTAGATGTAAATTACCTGCTTGAAAAATTCCCGTACGTTAGACAAGCTTAGCATAAAATAAGCATAAAGTCGAAGAATATCAGATGCTTGTCCTGAGAAAAGCACAACATTGACCTTCAATGACCAAGTTTGAATGATTAATAAATTGAAAAGATGTGTTTGCAGGTGGTTCAGGCCTTCATCTGCAACTATCAGGAAATACGGGTAACTTGTTTCCAAGAAGACTTTCCATTCTTCCGATAAGCATCCAGAAAATTCAGTTCGGACATCAATGGTGGTGTTATTCTTAAGATGAAGAATCAAGGCAGTCCTCAAAGGAAGAAGTTCAGGGAATTTGAAATACGCAAACTCAGCATCCTGGAGGGAGTAGTGGTAAGGTGCATTATTTTGACATCCTTATTCAGTAGCTGGTTAATACATATCGTTAGAGGCATTAAAGGAATACAACTCAACATCACTGTGTTTGGTCTCACAGCTGGGAAACAGGCCCTACTTACAAATAGAGCATCCATCACAATTTACATGAAAAACATGTGTTGCCTTTAGGCTGGTACATCATACTCAGGGTGTATCACACTTCCCCTTCCCACTGTCTAATTCTTTCTCTCTCCATTCTCACCTCAAAAAGAAAAAGGACAGAAAAACCCATAGAAAGCAAACGATGAATAAGTGTGAATGATCTGGAGTAGGAAGCAGAAGTGGATCGCTTTGTTCTAAGTGGTTGCTAGAGGCCATCCTCCTGAGGTGAGGCAGCATTAGTTGCTCTGAAGGAACCAAAATAAGTGTAGCTGCTAGCTTGATTGCTAGCCCTAGACCAGGACCCAGAATAATTCTTCAAAACACCTTGGCAAGCAGTAAGCAATGTTTAAAAACATAACCTATAACATCATGTTTACTACTCTGCCATGAAAAAAGAATGAAATCTTGTCTTCTGCAACTAAATGGATCCAAACGGAAAACATTATGTTTAGTTAAATGAGCTGAAAAGACAAATATCATGTTTTCCCTGATCTGTGATAACTCATACACAGAGTACAAAATGTGTAACCTACATGAGTGAGACTGACATTCTGAGACTCGACTATTGTTTTCAGCCTTGGTGTACACGCCCGAGGAATAATAGCCCAGTGTTTTTGTTTTAATACTTGCTATGTGTTGATATCTTTTACCAAATTGAGTATTAAATCTGTGTTTGTGAAGTGAAATGAAAATTTTGCCATTGTAAAAATTAGGAGAAAACAAAAAGAAAGGAGGATGAGTGGAGAAAGTGGGTGAGAGGCCATAAAGTAAGAAGTACCCCTGTGCTCCTAAATCAGCATCATGAAATATGTGAAAATTACTTACTTTGTATAAATTTTTTACAAGATTTATTTTAATTTTTATTGGAAAGACAGACTTGCAGAAAGAATGGGAGACAGAGAGAAAGATCTGCGGTTTGATGATTCACTCCACAAGTAAGCAATGACTGAAAGCTGAGCCAATTCAAAGCCAGGATCCAAGAGCTTCTTCTGGATCTCCCATGCACATGCAGGGTCCCAAGGCTTTGGGCCGTCCTCTACTGATTTCCAGGGCCTCAAGCAGGGAGCTGAATGGGAAGTGGAGCAGCTGGGATTGGCTACTAGCTGGGATAAGTATACTAGTGCATGCAAGGCAAGAACTTTGCCACTAGGCTACCACGCTGGCCCCACTTTATATAACTTAAAAAAAGCATAAGCAAAAAATTATTGTGAACAGCATAGTAAGAAATATGTGGACTGGAGGAGAGTATTGCTATATTATTTATTTTCATTTTTAGTTGAGTGTGGAGATTTGCTATGCAATTATATCGAGTCTCCTACTGTGACCTGAAAAACAATACATACAAAAACTGACGAATAAATGATTTATTCAACAAGCAACATATTAAAATAGAAGTACCAAAAAACCATAACAATAGTTATAACAATTACAAAATAAGAACAAATCTATGCACAAAATCACTAAGTGTAATATATTAGTTACTTCTAAGAATAAGAAAACTTTCACTATATTTATAATCAAACAAAAAACACAACATTTTCTTGGAGGTATTTACTACAGAACCAAAAAAAAAAAAAAAAAAAAAGAAGCAGGGCCAGTGAATTTGGGCTTGAATACTGTACAGCTGACTTTGAAGACATATACTTCTCAGAGTTAGAGACTAGAATCGGGCATCAAGCAGGCCACTGCAGAGGAGATTCCTCATGTACCCTCATAACACTGTGTGTCCCTATAATAAAACTCTTCTATGAGAGTAATTCAGGGGTAGTCATTTCTGAATGCTGAAATTGTGGGTCAGTTTTGTGCCATGTCTTCTTCCTGTAAGTTTTTTGAATTTTTATAAATACAGTTACTTTGGGTGTGGCACTACAGCTTAATGGCTAAAATCTCCGCCTTACAGATGCCAGGATCCCATAGTGGCACCAATTCCTGTCCCAACTGCTTCATTTCCCTTCCAGCTCCCTGCTTGTGGCCTGCGAAAACAATAGAGGATAGCCGAAAGCCTTGGGACTGGGCTCCCACATGCGAGATCTGTAAGAAGCTCCTAACTCCTGACTTTGGATCTGCTCAGTTGTGGCAGCCACTTGGGGAGTGAATTAGTGCATGGAAGCTCTTCCTCTTTGTCTCTCCTCTCTGCATACCTGATGTCTCAATAAAAATAAATATATCTTTTTTTTTTTTTTACAAAAGAAGGTATCATTTACTTTCTAATAATGAAAAAATATTATACATGAAAGAATTTAAGGGATTTTGTTAATTCTGAAATCATAAGAACTCAGTTGTCCTGTATTACCTCGAAGAAGACGATGGCAAATTGTCCTCCTTTACTAGTGAGATCCAAAAGATAGCGTTCAACCAGATAGAAAAAGTGGAGGTTTTGCCCCTTCCTTAATGACTGCTCACACATCATTGTGATAAATAATGAATCTCCATCAAGCAGGAAAAATTCAGATTCAACAAAATCATTGAATATACTGGAATACCTAAAATAGAAGAGTTTTAAAAAGATCAAATGGAGATTAAAGAATGTCCAAAAAAGGCAGTATTGCTATGACCTCATTATTATAATTGGCAGCTATACACACTCACATACACACACAGACACACACACTATCAGTGTAAAGTCAAGCAAGTATATTCAAGGGTATCTCAAAATGTTCATGAAAATGGAACATTAAAAGATAAGCTGTAATATATCATTTTTTAATAATATGCATTTTCTGTAAACTTTTGGAGCAAATTCCAAGTTTTAATTTCATTTTCCCACAAATTTTATGAAGTACCCTGGTAAAGGACATTAAGATATATGCTTCTGGGCCCGGTGGCATGGCCTAGTGGCTGAAGTCCTCACCTTGAACGTACTGGGATCCCATATGGGTGCCTGTTCTAATCCCGGGGGCTCCACTTCCCATTCAGCTCCCTGCTTGTGGCCTGGGAAAGCAGTCGAGGACAGCCCAAAACCTTGGGACCCTTCACCCACATGCATGGTAGGCCTGGAAGAGCTCCTGGTTCTCAGCTTCGGATCGGCACAGTACCGGCCGTTGCGCTCACTTGGGGAGTGAATCATTGGATGGAAAATCTTTCTCTCTGTCTCTCCTTCTCTCTGTATATCTGACTTTGCAATAAAAATAAATAAATCTTTAAAAAAATATATGTGCTTCCATGTATTTTCATTGTAACAAAGATACTCACTCAGCTCTTGGCATCTGAGTCAGAATTATATCTGACAGTTTGTTTAAAAACATTAAGCATTTTTTTGAATCTAAAAAAGAGAGAAAGATAAATGATTCTCAAATCTTTTTTCAAGGAAGTTATTATATTTTATCACTGAGAATGAAGTAACAGTAATATAATTATTTTAATTTCTTTAAATCTGTGGGGCTAACAGAATCACTATTTAATCATATATTAATATTTCCCACTGAAAATTACCCATTCTTGCTGCTCTTATGCCTCCTACTGGAACTGGAAGCTACTATGTAGTAAATATCCTTTACTCTGGTTCCTCTAAGTGGTTGTTGCTAATGCAAATGGCAGGCCTGCAAAGGAAGAGGAAGAATAAAAAGGTCTTAGTTATCAATGAATAGGATTAAGTGACTTCTATATGTAAAGCAAAATATTAGACAAGAATGAACAAAGTTAACATGTGACCAATTCTCCTGAAATTCTATCAGTCAGGGGGGAAAAAAACCACAAACCCTAAAATCACATAATCCAAGGAAAACACAAATGTGACAGTCCATGAGGTCAAAGAGAGCTTTCCAGAAATAGAAATCCCTGAACTGAGATCCAAAGGATTATGTAAGAACTCATTGAGCAACAAAGGCAAAATAGCAGGCCAAGCAGATGGAATAGCACAATGCCATGTGCAGGGGCATAAAGAAATCTGGATGGAAGGGGACTCTGAAAAGAAGCCAGCAGGGCTAGCACATAGAGTGAGAGGAAGACTAACCGTGCCAGGAAGAACTAGAGAAATATAGGCATATAGGTCTGCAGAATCTTTCAGGGCATATTCCAGAATTTTTCCCTTCATCCAAGAATCAAAGCTTAGCCCTTGTTGGATTTCAACCAGGTGGTAGCATAATGGCTTTACATATTGAAAACATTGATCTAGCTATGGCACAAAGAGCATGGGTGTGGGTGCAAAGTTCTTGCTGAGCAGAATGAATGCTATCATTCAGAAGATTGGCAATGATTGAGCTCATTAAATCTGAGCATGGAGATTTCCTTGAAGAACATTTAGGAGGTGAGTTGGACAGAACTGAGTAATGGATGGGAGGGCATTTGAGACATTGGTCAAAATGCCGCTTGGGAAACTTGCATCCCATCTCACAGTGCCTGAATTCAGGTTTTGGCTCCACTTTCAAGTCCAACTTTCTGCTAATTCACACCCTGCAGGTAACAGATGATGGCTGCCGTGGTTGGGCCATAGTGAACTCATGGCTCCTGGTGCCATCTGGTCCAGTCCTGGCTGTTAGGGTCATTTGGAGAGTGAATCAGAAGATAGGTGTGTCTGTATCTGTCTCTCTCTCCAGTCTTCTCTCTCCACTCCCTGCTCTTTGCCTTTCAAATAAACAAAAATTAATAAACTTTAAAAGATTGGTAACACATCAGATATGGATGAAGGAGAGAGAACAGGGAATAATCAATGGTAATTGTTACATTCCTACTGAACTACAGTCTTTTCAGGTTTTGCTTACCGAACTCTATTTTGTGGCGCAATAAACCTTTAATTTAAATGTACATTTAAAATGTAATATCAAAAATTACAAGAAAGCAAGACAAGTGGAGGGAAGAAGGAAGGAAAGTATTCTATTTACAGAACTACATCTGAGAAGTACACTGTATCGGCTCTCCCTTCATAATAATATCACATGAACATGAGACCTGATGAGAATTGTGTTGGAGTAATTATCACACATTTGTTGTGACCCTTAGAATCTAATGTACTAATAAATTCCTTACAGATCACAAATCAAAAACTAATGATTGCTGAAATCAGGAAGTTATCCTTTCTTTTAAATATTGCACACCATGGATACCCAAATAGTAGATGAGGAGAATTTTGTCTCTAGAAGTAATCCAGCTAGTTAACAGAAAAAGAATGATAAGATAGAAGCATCCCACAATCCTTAGTGAGTGGACGATTTTGGTATTTTTAGGAAAGAGCACAATAATAGAGGCAAGCGTCCGCACCATCTGTAAAGTACTGTAACTCATCCTCCCCAATCCGAACGGAATCTGATCAAAATGTTAGCCTAATGACCCCAAAGACATTCAAAGAGAGGAACCTGCTACATGGCACAAGGACTAAGAGAAGCTACAAAGGATACACAAGTCACCTTACATATTAACAAATGGAGGGGGAAATAGATTAAATGGAACTCAAAAGGCACTATTGTCCAATCACCGATGTCAGAGTGATATTTGGATTCTGGTTCAAATAGTTTAAAGGGAAAGAAGAGGAGTGGGGAGGAGAAAAAAGAGAAGTGGGAAGTAAAAGGGGAAAGAAGGTAAATCGTGTGTCACCACTTGGAACTCAGTGGAAGAGCGACACGAAGTGCTGCATGAAGAAAAACTGGTGGGCAGAATTTTAAGTTTCCAAGCCTCTCACCATACTGAGAACACTGACTCTGGACATATCCATCTTTCCAGTAAGAGCAGGATCCTTGACAGTAAGAGTCCCTCCCACGGTTAGGGTGTTCTCAAGACCGACAAGGGAACACTTCTGCAGGCTAGTAAGGTAGCCAGGATCCGAGGGTGGGCTCTGGAGACAGAGTGTAATCCGTACCCAAGAGCCAGCCAGCAAGCTGGGATCCTCAACCCTTCAGCTACAAGGAGCTCAGCTCTTCCGTGGCTGAAATAAGCACCCGAGTCTGGAAGTCAGCCAGGAGGGGACTGTTTCCCTAAGCCTGGACCTGCATGAAGCGGCATGCTACTGCAGTACTGTTCCCCTCCATTCAGCTTGTGATCATCTGTCACACAGCAGTGGAAAGGCAAAGCCTGCCCCTAGTCATAAATACGTTCTTTGCACTCCTCGAACTAAAACAAGACAACAACAACAAAAAACAAAAAACAAAAACCTGTCCTAAGCCTCAGTAGCTACGAAGGCACCAACCGGGAGATCCCAGTACAACTCAGGTTCCCAGAGTGCAACCTTAGATGCTGCTTAGGAGAAAGTATACATCCTGCCGTCCTGTCCAGGTTTGACCGGTTTGGGATGGGGAACATCTCTCGCCCTTCAATTAGTTCCTTTTCCACTGTCCACGTTCCCCTAGAGGAGAATGCCTTAGGTACCTTAACAAGCTCCCCATCTCCCAGCTCTGTGCACCCAGAAGCTGCAAGACCTTGCCAAGGTGACAGAGACCTACAAGTGCTGGGGGACAGCTCCTTTCCAGCTGCCTTCCTCCCGCCGGGGGACTATGACTCCATTGGGCGGCCCCCTTCAAGTTCCACCTCCCCCCCTTAAGCACCACCCACTCCTCACAATCTTAAGTCCTCCCGTCCCCCACCTGCTGCTGCTTAGCGGTTCGCTCCACAAGGTGGCAAGGCGGGAAAGGGACCCAGCGCAGAACCTCGGCCGAGCTGCAGCACACTCAGGATCCGCGTCTGACTGGGCGCGCCTGCTCTGTTTTAAACCTAGAGAAGGAGTTTCGGTTTCCTTTCCTCTTGTAGAAGCGTTTTAAGTTTCGGTTTCACTTTCCCCACGCCTCGGACTGGATAATGCAGGTCGGAGGAAAGCATCCTCCTCGCGGATCAGCATTTCAGGAGAGAAAGCTCAGGCAATAAGGATAGGCTTTGACCTTTGGCCACAAAGATGCTCTGGGAGAAAAACCGAAGCAGGAAAGAAATCTGAGACATCCAAACACACACACACACACGGGGGTATTTTAAAACAGGTGAAACAGGGCACGGTAGCTTAGTGAGTAAAGCCCTTGCCCTGCGACCTCCGGGATCCGTGTGTGCGTGGATTCATGTCCCGGATGCTGTACTTCCCTCGGGAAGCGGTCAAGGACCGCCCAAAGACTTGGGACGCAGCATCCTCCTTGGACACGCAAAAAAGCTCCTGCCTCGGATTGGCTCAGCTCTGGCCGATTGGACCACCCGGGCAGTGAACCAGAGCTCTGCAAATCTGACTTTCTAGTTTAAATAAATAAATAAATCTTTAAAAAGGTAAAATATAACACTGCGGAATCTTATTTCATAGTGAGAGGTGGGGATCCTTGTATCCGCAGCGTCTGTAAACTGGAAAGAAAAGGCAAGGCTGCAAGCAAGAGGAGTTAGATGGAATATTAGGCAGTTAGGGTCTCTGGTCCCTGGTAAAGTTACCTTCGAAAATATAAAATCTTGCTTCTCCTGATTTCTTAGCCTTTCAAGGGCAAGTTCTCCCCTTGAGGGGGAACCAAAGGACAGAATCAACACATCAATTCCCATCTCTTAGATCAAGGAGACATAGCAGGTACTAATCCCACAGTGTCAGCATAAACCCTCAGAATGGGAGAAGGAAGCCACCAGTCACACCCTTCTCATGTCCTTGGTTCTGGACAAAGTGCTGCCTGTTGTGAATTACTTCTCTCTCTCTCTCTCTCTCTCTCCTTTGTCCTCCTCCCCAACAAATACAAACTTCCACCATTTCTTCAGGTCTTTTCCCTCCTTGGAGCCCCCTCATGTCATTCAACAGGAGCCTTCTTTCGTTCTCTCTTAAATAAATCTTGCCTTGCACACTAGAGTTTTCTGCAGTTTTCTGTGTGAGACAAGAAACGAGGTTCATGTTGTCTTTTGCGTCAAATTCCCTGCAACACAAGGACACACCAGGAGCCACTGGTTGCAGCTCAGGGTAAACAATTTCAGTATGCAAAGCAAGATTTATTTAAGAGAGAGAAAGAGGTCTCCTGCCATAGTGTGTGTGCGGGGGTATTCCTAAAAAAAGGAAAGACCAGAGAAAATGGTGGAAGTGGTGTCTTTTCAACACTATCTCAGCCAGGGGCACAAAGGGTAGAAAAAAAGGGGGAATTCCTTTACAATGGGCGGCAATTTCTAGCATCTTGTTCAGAACAAAAAAGACATCAGAAGGGTGTGACAGGTGGCTCCCTTCTCCCAGCTCTCTGACAGTAACTCAGAGATGGAGCTGGTTTGGACTATGTCTCCTTGCTTTTGTCCTTACATTTATTTTGTTACTTGCACCATTTCATGAAGTGGTAACAATTATTTGCTCTAAAATCAATAAAGATAAATAAAGCTAGGAGGAATTATATTTGTAGTAAATGGAGCCAAGATTCAAAACTCGGTCTAGCATTTGGCAAGGGCCTTCTTGATGGATCATTCCATGGCTGGAAGCCAGGAAAGGGAGAGATAAGATAGCAAGAGGTCAACTGAACCCATTGCCTCAAGACCCTTTAGCAGCATTCACTGGGATGGGACCCTATTACCAAAACACTCCCCCAGAACACCCCACATTCTGATCTCTACTGCACAGAGTATTACATTTCCACCCACAATTCCGGGAGAGAAAATTCAAGCCATATCATATCCCACACCACACAGATAAC